CTGACGAGAGTCAGTGCCGGGAGGCATACGTGTTCTGGCAGACATTAGACTATTTATAAAGACGGAGCGAACTATTTACTATATGAAGTTACTCTACAAGAAGACACCTATTTAAACTACCTTTTATGGTATTTCAACAACAGCAAAAACTTAGGACTATATATGTTAACTATATAACACAAAGCTAGAAAAACAACAGCGGTAACGATCTATAAAAGAAACGTTACAGAAACGCCGGGAGGGCCTCGAGAAAGATTCCAAGAAGGAGAGGGCACTCCCATACACCGAGAATTGGAGCAGGTCGGCAAGGCCACAATTTAGTTGTACCTTAATACAACCAAATACTCCAATAATCCTATAAAATGAGATATCGATTTAAGACGATGAAAAAAAAGGTAGATATATATATATTGGGTAGGAGTAGCACATTTCTAAGCTACCAATTATGGTGGTAAATTACCATTTGAGATTCCAGACTTCTAGCCTTCGGCGAATGGCTTGGCAAATGATGCAAATAAGACGCCATTTAAATATTTCCCCCATCATTTACACTCACTGGAGTTATGAATTTGTTTCATACTTAAATATACCCATAACAATATCTGGAGCTCCCGATTGTGTCAACCTTTCGTCGAGGTACGCTTCAATAATAGCATTGACATACTCGAGCTGTATAAAGCCTGAAAGTTTGCAAAACCGTTAACAAAGAAAGTTGAGTATGGCGATCAGGTTGTGCAGTAGTGAATCGAGTGCAGAATAGTCCGCGGAGAGTTGGCAGAGAGGTGAGGATACAGAAGGAATAGGGAAGATACAGAAAGAATAGGGAAGAAGCAGTACCAAGGGTCGGGGATGGAAAGGTTTAGGGAGATAGGGCAGTGGATCGGGGATAGGAGGGCTGAGGGAGCGGGTCGAGGATAGGAAGGCTGAGGGAGATGGGAGCGGGTCGAGGATAGGAAGGCTGATGGAGATGGGGCAGCGGGTCGAGGTTAGGAAGGGTGAGGGAGATGAGAGTATAGGTCAAGGAGAGGAGGGCTGAGGGAGATGAGAGTGTGGGTCGGGGACAGGAGCGATGAGGAAGTGGGTCAGGGTTGAGGACGGGTAATGTTGTGGCTGTAGGACCGTACCAAATTTTTTGACCGGTTGTTGGCAAGAAGTAAGTCATAACAAATAGATTGTTTTTATCCCCCCCTCCCCCCACATTTAGCGTTGGTCAGTTCAAAACTTGGCGATATGTGTTGCAGTGTCCTTTGTTAGGGAGTTCAGAAGAGCTCAATTAAAGGATTGTCCTTTCTAATAAACGACAGTTGGCAAACCCAAGTCCAGTAGTCCTCTCGTTCATACTCACTCGTCACTCTCCGCACGGTTTGATTTTTTACAAAGAAAGACAAAAGCCGATGAGATGGCTCAGCACGACCAGTCAAAGTCAGGTATGATATTAGTTTATCGGTTATTTTTTTGATTGGACTTGACGGTAAGTGGCAGCTAATTTAAATGTCGTCTGAATATCACTATGCTATGTTCTTCTATTTTTTTTTTTTGTTTGAAAATCTTGGGGAATCCGCGGATACTTGAGAGAAGCATAGGGCGTCCACGAGCACATAAAGTTTGATAACCGCTGCTCTAGGTTTTATTTAAAGAAAAAGAATAACTTGTTTTTTCTTAATAATATTAATTAGCCCTACATTTTCATCATAATAATAATATTAATTTGATACATAAATCATTAACCAATTTCACGTGTAATTTATACATTGAACATGTATTCCATTTGAAGTTTCAATCTATTGGTTGTCATATTAAATAACTTTAAAATCACGGGGTAAGCAACTTGAACTAGTTATACAAATTATTTTCACCACTTGGCAACAATATAATACTAAGCACTGACTCATCGGACCAACATCGTCCTTTCTATTTAATTAAAACGTCACATGTTCTAAACATGTTCAATTCGTTATTCGAATAATTTTATCACATATGGTACCGTACCGGTAGATGAATACAATCTTAATGAGTTTTATCAATCTTACATCACAGCATCAATATATTTAACTTACTTCTAAGTAATGAAATAATATCTATTCACATTTTACTGTATTACAGTATTATACACATCGCTTTATTCATATCCCACTTAATAATATTAGAAACGTTGAAAAAAAATATCTCGATTTTATAGCTAACATCTAGACTCAAAATTTTACATCTAAATCTCGAAAAAAACATCTAGATGTAGCTATAAATCATCTAGAGTGGCAGCCCTGGTTAGGCGATCCACTGAAGCGAGGCTTGTAGGATCCGTGCTCGGCACCTAACATCAATTAGAACGGCAGCGTATTGAATGATTCGATTTTGATGGGCTTTTTTATTATCTTTCGTGTTCAAGTTATGATAGGCATGAGCCATCAATTCAGTCAAATCATTCCAGTCAGCGAGATATTACAATTTTAATGGGTAGGTTAGTTAACCTTCAAACGTTATTTTATACTGGTTCATGACATTTAAATTTTAAAAGTATTGCCCGATTTTATATCGTGTTTTTGTTTTATTGTGTTTCGACTGATTCTGGTGGACGAGCACGTAATTGTACGTTTTTAACTTAGAGCTTTTCCCGTCCTCTGTATTTTGTTTGTTGTGGTTTTGTTTCTAGCAGCGTTACCAAATAAAATTGATTGATTGATTGACTACATGAGATTCAATAGACGGACGCTGATTTGGCATAAAAGCAAACATGGAGTTAGCAGAGTACGGTACCGTCTTTATTTTTTTTTCTTTGTTACCGAAAGTCGTGGATCGGGCACGTTTATATCCTCGTATTCGGCTTTGATTGAAAAGTCTCATGGGATTTCTACACTCTCGGGAGCAAACTGCCGTTGTAAACCCGCCTTATATATAGGTATATATACAACTTCTAAAACAAGGCTTGTTGCGCCACACTACTGAAGCGAAATGATCGAAAATGACGTATGTATGGTATGACGCAATAGAGGGTTGAATATTATAACGTCATATAAGGAAAATAAAACGACGTAAACATATTCAATACGCGCGATGTAACATTACTTTGTATTTTTATGTATATTGAATATTTCTCGAAATTTTAAACTGCGAACCGCTTGAATAATCTTTCACGCCCAACATAATACATACTACTTCCGGAAGCTGCGAACAGCTGAGGCATAAAATAGGTGTGTACCGCCTGAACGTATGTTGACTTATTCCATATGTGGGCAATGCCGGCCGTCAGTATTCCTTTGAGTAGGTTGCGCCATGTCTAACAAATTAAGTAACTGTAAAATGGTGAAATGAGGTTTGGATATAAGTGAGTATGTTCTTACCAAATAAGGCGTAGTTTTGGCGGATCGCGTGTTTGTTTATGTGCCTATTTTGTCTATGGTTCCGCACAATTACAGTGGTTATGTCATTTAGCATACTACGGTAGTGTCAAGTTTCAAGACATTGTTGAAATAAGTGATTTGTCGACCATTTATGGACAAATTAAACCGACAGACTGCTAGTAGATATACGGTACTGATATAATAGCCCATTTCTGTATTTGTAAAGCTTATTATACCTGTATACTGCTATACCTTACTGTAGTACTGTGTGTGTGTTATGGGCAGATACAGACATAGGGATAGTTTTAGAACATTCAAGTCAAAAATATGAATGTTTTCCTGCAGAATTTTAAGGAGACCGGAGTTGGCTTTAAGATAATTTATGCATATTCTTTAACATTAATTCAGTAATTTGTTCTGTAAAGTTGCGCTTTTAAACTTGTGTAAATCAGAAATTTTTTTACTGAATTTATATGTCAAGATGGTAGAAATCTGAATATTGAAATTCTGGAAAACCTGCACTAAATATCATCCATGTTATCAATTAAAATTATTTTTCAAAATATAGGTCATTAATTATTGTTAGTTGTAGTTCATCATATTCATCATATTATAAGTAAAGCTGAAAGAGTAGGGTTGGGCATTTTCGAGTTTCTTTTTTTTTTGAGTCGAATCGAATCTCGAATACTTGGGAAATATAAAATTGTATGTAACTCTCTTACTGCAGTAGGCCTACTGTATTAGATCCACCAGACACATAAATTACTGAAAACATATAATACATCACTCAGGCAGATTGCTGAGTGTTCACACACAATAAAAAACCTGTTTTCATCAATAACTCACTACAAAAAAGAGTCATATGTCGGAATTGCGTTGAAAAAATATGGCTCCAATAAAAAAAAAACGAAAAATTTACCTCGACCATTGGCGGAAAAAAACAAACAAGATGGTGGCGGTTCGAAATTTTGCTCTGAATCAATTCGAATAATTTACTATTTGATTCGAAATGCCCAGCTCTAGTAAAGAGTAATTTGTCTGTATTAGAGAGAATATAAACAATACCTTAATTCAAGAATCCGCTCATGAATCTTATGAAGTGATTACAAGGTGGCGAGTTCAAATTTGCGGTCTAAATAACAATGGCTCTTAAACATCCTAACTGCGTAAGCAGCCAAGGCAAAACTGAAAAGTTTCCGCAAGTTGGTGATTACTGACTGATTTAATAATTTTACAATTATCATTTTGAATCAAAATATTTTACCAATGTCATTTAAAGTACTGATATCTAATTTTAGTCTAGTCTATCGCAGCTATTTTGGTCTAGTTTTTTTTTACTGCATCTGAAGTAAAATTTAAAAAGTAAAAGGACATAATATTTATTGGGTTGATTAATTTATAGCCAAATTTCAGAAACACAGCGATAAATTGCTGATTATTAAATAAAACTAGGAAACGAGGTATTTACATCCCTGCTTGAAAATTCGTAAAAGTGAAAAATATGTCTGGGCAGCTGCTAAAATTTCAAATTTTTGCCATCGATTGGTATCTTGTTGATTAGGCGATGTTAAGGAAATAAACAAGGAAGTCAATGCTTGGTGAAATATATATTGCTAGTCATTTTTGTGGTAAAAATTGCTATAGTTGAATTGCTAAAATTTAAACATGGATACTTTACTCTAGTTTTCTATATAGCGTTATAGTGAGTACATAAATCTAATCATCATCATGTCAGCAGACCTTGCATCTCTTGTGTCTCGTCTTGAAACCGTCACAACTAGATTGGAGAAGGTGGCAATTGGAGGTGGAGGAGCAGGTACTGTTGTATTGAAATGGAAATTTTTGATTTTATATAGTGTGAAACTGTGAATAGTCAACTTGGTGTTTTCTTTTATTCGGAAAGACTGGTATACTGGTGTAGTTATAGTGATATCACTGACATTAGCCTATCAAAAATAATTTTTAAATATTGTTTGATTTTAATGATGAATATCTTGGTCTCTTTGTTAATTATACTGATATTCATTCGTCATTAGCTATAGTACCTTTACCATATTTTCTGGCTAATAGGTTGATTCTGGACTCAATTTTTGGCCTGATTTATTTGGATTGGCATATTGAGGGACTCGTCTTATTAGCCAGAAAATGAGATAATTGTAAGAGCTGATCTGTTGAGCATGTACTACTGCCACGCAAGCCTGATTATACATGCTATTTACATTGTATCGCTATGAAACAGTTCGTTTCATTATACAACCTTATTTTTTTCTAGGCGATGCAGGACCTTCTTCAGAGATGGTGACTGATTATGGAGACTTCATTGCACAATATGTGGATGCTTTTATAACAGCTACAAACAAAGTCAATTCTAATGATGTAAAGAAGGCTGTAAGTTATAGATATTTTATTTTATAGGATATCTGAGCTAGGCAAAAAAAATTACTTTCAAAATCCTTTTTCTCGCGGCGGTGTGGCTCATTGTGCTAACCGTTAGGAATACGCTCGCCACCGCACCTCTGATTATTCTGCATGGGTTGCAGATTTGAATCCTGTGCGGGGATGGTTATGTGCGAGAGGATTGCTGGACTCCCATCCGCCGCAGGGTGGTTCACGTAACCACTGCTCGGTTACTGCTTTCTCCACCATCAAGGCCATGCTTCAGAAAACAAATAACCACCAGTAACTAATCTTATACCTGACATGGAATGGTAACTTGACAAGAGGCCGTGGTTCGCCATATGGTTACGCCATCTTATCAACTTTCCTCTCCCCCGGGATAAATATGTAAAATCCTATACTCAATGCCAAACTACATGATTTATTAGTCCATAAATATTTATAGAGTCTAAATAGATTTATAGTATAAGTTATGATAATAATAGAGTTTGTTTTGCAGTAGATGGTCCTTTGTAACCAAATTCATTATAACCTGTTTTAAATTTTCAGTGTTACTAAGTACTAGTTAACACAGATGATCTATTTTCTTCATTGTTTTTTCATGAATTTTTCAGTCATTGTGAAAAACAATGATTCATTGGGTCTCATAAATATATTATTATCAAAGTGTGAAAATAGCATTCCGTTAATGAAATTTTGACCATCACTATTCACTCATTCTCTATAGATTTTGACATACAACTAAATTATTCACAACGGTAAAACAAGTTGAGTTCATTATTCTTAAAACCCAAAAAGTGTGAAACTATTTTATTTATCTTTTATTTTCTTTATTTGTGAACAGGCATCTTTGGTGAAATCACTCGCTGAAGAACAGAAGAAGTTTCTTGGAATTGTTGCGCAACATGCAGAACCAACCCAGGTTGTTTTTTAATACTTTTTTCTGTCGTTTCTCAGTAATTAATAATTAACAAAATGTGCAGTTTGACGAGGTCTGGCTTATTGGGAAATTCAGTTTATTCTTAAATGACTGTGACAGAAAAATATATGTCGGATGAAATGGAATTAAGGTTTTATGTCCACGTTTATATAAAATGGATAGTTCTCAGATCTCACTGTAAAATATTACTCCATATATTGTCTCTTGCACACGAAATGGTAACAGAGTAATGTCTCTTAATATGAACTCATTTGGAATCCCACGGGACAGCGTAACGGTTATTTTGTTGAATCACTGGTAATATATGTAACACGTGGTTGTAACTGGTTGTAACATCATTAGTTGTTCATGTACTGAACTGAATGTTGTAATTTGGTTTGAATATTTTTGATGAAATCATTTTATTATGATACTATGGAAAAATGGAATAGGCTAATTCATGTTTTACAGATATAATAAGTTGGTAGCTTTTGTCAAGTAATAATTTTGAAATTCATCTTTCATGTGATCTCCAATAATTTTGATTTGAAATTTTATTTAGTATGTATATTAGACAGTGGATGTTTCTCTGACCCTTGACCCCAGAAAAGTTATCTAAATTTTATTATTACAAAATTTATGATGGTATTACAGAAATTGGTCGCTTTAGTCAAGTAATAATTTTGAAACTCTGAATGAATTATGTTCAACATGATCTCCAATATTTTTTATTTAGTGTGCAGAAAAGTCTTCTAAATTTTATCCTTACCAAATTTTTCATGACATTCTCTGAATAGCCAATGTTACAGAAATTAACAAGGAAGCTGATACTCGAAAATATCTATTGTCCTATTCCAATGGTGCTCCCTTTGTCTTTGAGCACCTTTGAAGTTGGATCGTTTGCACTAAATTTAATTGAATTTTCACTGGGCCTGTAACACAACTGTATTTCATAGAGCAGGGCTACTCAACTTTTTTTTACCAATGATCAACAATCGACATACAAAACTTCAAAATTACTGGGGACCGGTCTTTCCAGAAATTATATTTTGACATCTATCGCGCACTTCTTCGGTCGTCTAATGATCATTCACTAATCAAGATAGCACTATTCATATTATTTATGATGGTGTTGCAGTTCTTTTCATTTATAGTCAAATAGGAGCAAATAATAAAATAACCTTTAAAACTATAAAAGTCATTTGATAAGAAGGAAACTTTCACATATCCGAAGATGGGCCAATGATCCAAGGTGCGGTCCGAATCGTATACTCGAAAGGTCCGGATTCGGACTGCGGTCCACCAGTTGAGTATTCCTGTCATGGGGTATAACCAATATTATTTATTTATTAAGGAAGTTATAGCGAAGTTACTTCAACCATCTTCAGACATTATGACTGAAATTGGAAGAATCAAAGATGCCACTTTCAAAGACAAAGAATTTAGTTTCTACACAGCCGCTATTAATGAGGGTATGACTGCTTTCGGTTGGGTCATGGTGAAGCCTTTACCCGCTCCTTACGTGAAAGAATGTGGAAATGGAGCTGAGTTTTATACAAACAGAATATTGAAGTAAGATCTAAAAAATTTAAAATTATTTTTATTATTTTGTCTACTTTTTTTAAATTTATGATTTTTTTATTTTATTGAGAACTGAAATAAGCGAAATTTCTTTTTGCTCAAATACATTTTTAGAAATTTATGATATTATTTTTTTTATTGGGAACAGAAATTTATTGGAATAGATCTTTTTGCTGATAAGTAAAATTATTTCTTTTGGTCGTATACCTTTTCAAAAATTCATGATATTTTTTTTTTTTGGAGAACTAAAATTTATTTACAATGAATTATTTGATGATAAAATGACCAGAATCATGAATTTTTCTTCCCAGGGAGAAACAAGACAAGGATTGGGTTAGCGCGTGGAAGGGTGTGTTTCCAGCACTTCATGATTATGTGAAAAAACATCACATTACTGGTCTGAACTGGGATAAAAATGTACGTATTGAACCAACAATATTGAATCAACTTATTCTTTGAGATCTGTTATTTTTCTCTTCTAATTTTCTTTATTTCTTTTATTTTTCTGCTTTTCCTCAGGCTGGCATCTTTTCCTTGCATACTTCTCGTTCTGCTGAACAAGATGCCAGACCCCAACTTCCCCCCAAACCTGAATATCTCAAGTCTCAAAATGAGGTCACAAAATCTGTACCCCCTACAACAGTCAAGGAAACGAATGAACCAGAAACATTGCCTCCTCCCCCATTACAAAACTGCCCCGATGCTGACGTTATACCCCCATTTTTGCCCCCACCACCCCCACCCCTTCCTCCAGTACTGTCGAAACCAGGATCAAGTAATGATTCTAGTGGCCATGGCGCATCTGAAGCTCTTTTCTCTGAAATCAATGCAAAAGGTCTAGGAATAGCTCAGGGTGAGAAAGAATGTAAAATTCTAAGGAATGCACATAAGCATGTAGTGTTGACTTCTTCCAATTTTACATATTGCATGTGATTTCATGTTTGAAGTTCACAAAAATTAGCTTCGTATATGGAACTGCAGTTCATGTTGTCAAATGAAGCCGTGTTGGGTAAAAGCCCCAAACTTCAGGTCTTGAGGCATGGGTCATAAGAATGCAAAGGCGAGTAGATCACTGAGTTATCTTTGTTGAGTACATATCCGAATCATTTCATTCAGATCACTCGAGTTGAGTCACTTTGAGCATCTGATGGATCTGGAATTGAGTCCCATCCATCAGATCACTGGTGGTTCTTTGAGTACATATCCGAATCATTTTATTCAGATCACTCGAGTTGAGTCACTTTGAGTATCTGATGAATGTTCAGGTCTAGTCTGGTCAATGATTTGGGGCGCCCCCATTACTGGTATGATGAAGTAACTGCTTGTACTTAGTTTTAATTGAAATCTAGTTGGTATATAAATCACCAGCTGAAAATATTTGCAAAAAGCACCAAACATCTTGACAATCCATTTCTCTATCTCTCTTTCTTCATTCTTCTAAATTAAAATGTTTACCGAGGAGGACTAAAAACAGGGCAAAAAAAAATAATTTCATCTAATAGGCATCCATTGCAACACTGGCATCTGCATCATCCGTAGCTTCATGTCCATCAGGGGCTCCAGCCCCTCCTCCTCCACCGGGACCACCTGCTGCATCTTCAGCTTCTCAAGGCAGTGCACCAGATGTATCCGCTTTACTAAGTGATATTAACCAAGGATTGTCTGTTACGTCTGGTAAGTTCAATTTACTCCAACCTGTTTGGGCATACCTAAACGTTTAATAGCGGTTGAGACATTTTGTGAATATAAACAGACATCAACAATAGTTATCTAAACAGGGGATGTGGAATCTGAGTTTGGCATATTTTTCACAGAGTCCTATTTTCAGATTTGTAATTTGGATCCCTCGTAGTCAGAATTAATAAGAGTTGGAATTTAAATATTGATAAAAGAAGACTAAATTCTTGATAGAAATACAAAATGCATCATGTTTTACTAATCGACAAAGACCAAAGTTTTTACAAAATTAGAGTATTGCTTGTATTGACTGGGGACACAGTCTTTTTTTTGTTTATCTGGGGTTTTCTCAGACTTTGCTGTCCTTCAACTGGTATTTTTATTTACCGTACTTTCATTTTCAAATATGAAACTATTGAACTTCAATCGAAAGGATAAAATTAACTGAAAGCATCAAAGTTTCAAACTAAAAACACATAAAATCTAAAAACTTGTCATGTTATAATGCAATGATTTGAATCTGTTCCCTTGTACATACAAATCACTACACTATTCAGAATCTTCTAACTCAATCAGTAAGAAGTGTTGTATTATAAGCCACAATATTATTTATGACTATGAAGATATTTAAAAAGTCTAAAATAGATAATAGAATGGAAATCAATCCTTAAGAGAAAATAGACTATAATAACTAATAACCAGGGTAATTTTTTCTCAAACATAAACTGCAATCCTGATGAATTTAATATACATTTTATCATTTATAGTTAACAGTTACTGTTAATAAGACAGGAGTTTATTGTTTAATAATCAAAGTGCCTAGTTTTCTATGATATGTGTGCATTGAGTACTTTCCATGAGCATTTCAGGAATGGTGCGTAAGTTTGTCACCCACTAGCATGTTATTGCATTTTTTATCTCATACGGATACTGTTAGTCTTTGCATATCAGAGCAATATAAGGATTACTCAATTTGAATAATGTGCATGTTTTTTGTGTCCATTGATATGCCTATGAAGTGTGAATATTTTAAACTTGAACATGTTAATATAGAAATCACTGTTTTTGTGAGGTAGGGGGGTAGGCTATATATTTATTTGGTGATATAAAATGATTCCCCTTATCATCAATTTGTTGTTGTCTGTTTATTTGACAATAGCTATAAACAGGACTAATTTTTCAATGTTAATAGCAATGTCAAAGTTCTTTCTAAATTGCAACTTATTTTAACAATTTCATGTTGTATCAAAATTCTATCTACAAAGGTTTGAAGAAAGTCACAGATGATATGAAAACCCATAAGAATCCAAAACTACGTCTTCAATCAGCTGTTCCATACAAAGCGCCTGCAGCAACCAAACCTAAACCTGTGGCCAAACCTACTGCTGCAGCTCCTAAGAAGACTCCTGTATTGGCGCTGCAAGGCAAAAAATGGATTGTGGTATGTTGGACTTCATTTGTAGATTACTAGTAATACTATCTCTATTTGGGCAATTCCAACGTTATTTCATTACATCTGGGAGCAAATATTTAAATTTTAAATTGGCCAAACTGAAATTCCATTAATCATAGGGTTTAAATGCCTTTGAGTCTGTAGCACAGACACAAAGTCCATGCATCTGGAAACTAATAGCTAGCTAACTAATCCCATACCCAATATGGAATGGTAACCGGACAGGAGACCGTGATTTACCATATGATTACGTCGTCTTATTGGTTTTCCTTTCTCCTAGGATAAAATAAATCCTATCCTACTTTCACATAGACGAGCTTCAAAACACATTTATTTAGTTGTGTTACGGGAGAAGGACATGAGTTTTTTTAGTATAACTTTTAAGGTCGCAAGATATTGTTGCCAACCAACTACATTTTCCATGTCACTGGAGAATATATTTGACCATATAAAATTAAGTGTAAAACGTTTATTCAAATTCTTGAACTTACAGCCTGAACTAGAAATGTGCTGTTAGGTACTTATGTCAGGGTCTTACAAGAAGAACAATCAAGAAATATTTATTGACAACATTGTTCGTTAATGCAGGATTGAGCACTATTTTTTTCAGTTTTCAGCAGGATTTCCCAGTTTTTTCCTAGTTTCATGAAATATTCTATCTTGTAAATAAAAATAACAATATTACTATATTACCATACTGATTTTAATCGAGAGAAAGAGATAAACAACTCGAGCTATCACTCAAAACAATAGTCCATTTATTGCCAACCTAAGGACAGAGGAGATAGGCACCTAATTTATCATGCCCTGAATGAGTCTAATATTTCGACGGCATCGTGTTTAATTTCATTTTGGCCTCCTATGGTCCTGACTGATTATATCAGATAGGCTGTCCTTCATCGCTGTACCAGATATTTGTCATTTCCTTTTGTGTGATGTCAGCCCTCTTCCTGTAGCAGAGCGTGCAGCCTCAAAGATACAATAGACTGGCTCTCTGTAATGTTTTTTTATATAGACATACATTGCCATTTCTGTTATGCATGCAATATATCAGTTCATAGAGAATTCCTATTTGGCATTCTTTCCTTTTTAAAAATATAATAAAGTACCTTATTGGTTGTTTGAACAATTGCAAATTGAAGACTTGCATTGATTATTGTCTGTGGATATCAATCTGAAGTCAATATCATACTATACAAAAACAAATTCCAAAATATAATGTTGCCGATAAAATTAGAAAACCAGTTAGAACAATAAATTGATATTTATCCAGTTATATAAAAAGCTCAATTGTAAGGATTTGTCTATTTTCAATTCTAAATTTTGGGGGATTTTATTAAAAGTCGAGTCCTTTCGTTTTGCTATTCTGCGACTCTGCGGGGGGGAATTTTCAGTTAGAATGAAACATTTTTGCCTGACATGAAATACCAGGATGTTGCCTAACCTTAACCTGGTACACATACTACGTTCCGGTGTCCGCCATCTTGGTTCACATACTACGGGAGTATCTTATCTAGATATACCAGTAACTGGATTTGTTCAATTTACAATGTATTTTCATGAAAACTTCAATGAGATTTCAAAAGTTGCCAAAAATAGGCCAAAGCCAAAATGTTCATTATACCGTAAATAAAAACAATATAAAATCATTTTCATGGCATTTTGATTTTTAGAGCATGCAAGCATCCTTATACTACTATTGTTGGTTTAAAATGTCCATGTGCTTTCTTATAGAGACAGTTTAATTTCAAAATATGATTTTCTAAAATTCCTATTTTAATTTTATCTTGAAGAATAATATGAGTCTTTTGTCTGAAAGTTATTTATTTAATTAAACTAAACTAGACAGATCAATAGGAAATTTCCTGTCATGGAAATATGAACTTATACAACCTCGTTGTTGCCACTTAGTCTATGTCTGCATCAGCGACCCAGTATTGATAAGTGAGATGGATTGTTTCTAGCTTCTTTATAAAAATTTAATGAAGTTTCAAAAACTTTGGTTATTTGTTTTGTGTATTGAAAACCCAATTCAGCTTTTAGTTTAGGTTCTCACTGATACAAAATGCTGTATTGATATTTTTTGGGGGGTTTTCGCTCCCAATGACAAAAATCAATAGGTTTATTTGTTTTCACTCTTTTATAGACCCTCCATTGTTATTATCCACAAGTTCTATTTAAATAGAGTTGATATAGTTCAGCACCAATACTTGACACTTCTACGGGTAACTCAAAAAAAAGAACTCTGACTATTTTGGGACATATTCTAGAATTTGTGCACAGTGTCCTAGATCAGGGGTGTGCGAAGTGCGGCCCGCGGGCCAAATACGGCCCGCAATGGAAAATTGTGCGGCCCGCGGAGAAGTGCCAATTTTGAATGGTGCGCGGCCATCTAAACTAGTTTTGAAATTTAGTTGGATCTGGTTTCCTTTGCGTTGCAAATCTTATATCCGAGTTCAATTTATTATTTATGCCAATGACTTACAACGTCCTAACAGCGAGGCGAACAACGCGATTCAAAAAGCTGTTCCTTGCTGAGCAGTAAACAATTTAAGAAAAATGCGGAGAATACGCTAATGAATTTGTAAAAACAGGCAATTGAAGATTAGGCTACTGGAAAGCAGTTTAAAAAAATTTAATATTATATAGATACAAAAGCTAAATGAGTTTTGGTTCTAGCCCAGGGGTCACCAAACTTTTTTGACCGCGGGCCGGGTATGACTCAAATTGTGTTGAAACGGGCCGGATGAATATTTTTGTCAATGCAATACAATAAATTCACAAATGTTGGGAATATCGCAGAATATAGATCGAGAACATCCTATGAAAAAAATTAACAAGATTCCTATATCTAGACAACTATCCTGAGTTTAGCTGTTATCAAAACGTTGCTGTCATGAATTAGAAATGTTACAAAATCCTCGGCAAAAAATGTGGGCATCGCGTCTGCTGGGTACCGTTACGCCGTGTTGAAATACCGCTCATAAAAACGACTAACTGCTGTAGCTTGGAATTCTATGAAATTTTGACATAATTTAGATAAAATAAACAACTATTATCTGGTATTTGATTTTTTTCATTTGCGCATAAATTTGCCAACATTCGACGCTTTTAAAAATTACGCTCCAGTTATACGTAGTTCAAATTAATGATATTGTCTATGGACACCAATAAAATTTATGTGGACGTGTGTATTTCTTTCCTAACTTAATACAATTTTTATGAAGTTCGTACAATCAGAACACCGTTAATTATTACCCACAATGAACCACTGTCAAACTATCATGCACAACTGCAGCGTTTATTTGCGACGATCTTTCGGCGGTGTCAATGACCGTTGTCAGAATAAAATCCTGAAATAGTCTCAGACGCACATCGAAAGATTAGTGATTGATATGTGTTATTTTTCCATATTTAGTTCAGTTCTTATCAAAAAAGTAATACAATCATTATGGAAAAATTTGGCCTGTCGGGCGGTACTAAAATTCCGATATCTTCGTTATTTCTTGACCGTTTATTATAAACTTGGTATTGTTTTCTATTTTTACTCGGATCTTTCCACTGGAATAGTTTTTATTTAAATCGGATGAACTTCAATTTTTTTGTAACATATACCTACATGAATATCCGCATTAAAGCAGTACAAAAGTTAGTGTGGCTTTTGAAATTGGAGCAGTACGCGAGGGATTACAGTACTGTTAGCACAAAATGCACATTCGACGTTTATTTTAGCACAAAAAAACACATACAGTTTCGTCGAAAGCACGCGCCACGAGTGTACAAGTGTATCGCAGAAAACGTTACGTACTGGTAGCATTCAAAGTCGCAAGAATGAAGTTTTGTTTACAGCCATGACTGAAAATCTGTCAGGGTGACAAAAGTGTCTGAGCGGATGCGGAAAGGCCTATTATTACGTCACTTTTTTGCATCTTGCCGATTGGGAAATGTTACGATATAAACAAAGACGACGATGCTCATGAAAATCTTCCTTGGAAAAAAATTTAGCCATTTTTGTGTGTTATTGCGGACCGGATAAAATGACGCCGCGGGCCGGATGAAATGACGTCGCGGGCCGGATCCGGCCCGCGGGCCGTAGTTTGGTGACCCCTGTTCTAGCCTATCAATTGATTTGGTCTAAATCTAATCTAGAATAAGATTTGACAGAAAATTATTTGGAAATGAATCTTACCGAAAACACCAAGATAACTTTCCACATTTAAAAAAGTCATGACTTCAAATATGGCACTTTCCAGTAACATATTTATTTCATTTATTTTTAAAATGAGCCATTTTGTGCCTGCAACTAATGGAAAGCCTATGTTAAATGACGGTGCGGCCCGCGGTTTCACTCAGTTATTAATATTTGGCCCGCCCACGAAAGAGGTTGCACACGCCTGTCCTAGATTACTGGAACTTTTGGGTACAATTGTACACAAACAGAAGTTCAAGTGAATTAAAGAAGTTTTCTTCATTTTTGTAGTTGATTTGTGGGTTCTTTTTTTATTGTCACTCTGTATTTGTATAGAACAGGAGTTCACGACCTTTTTGGTAGAGCATAACCTTTATGAAACATCCCAGTGGCTCAAAGAACCCCTGTGCAATAGTTCATTGTCTGAATTATATAAACTATAAATATATAAAGGAAAACCGATGTTCCCGAAGTTTTCTTACCTAAGATGACGCACAACCTGAACATAGTATGTGTACCATGTGTTGTGTGTGATTGTGCGTCATCTTGGTACTAATACTTCCGGAGCGCAAGAAAACCTGATACTGGCAATATAAAATGATCTCCAGTATGTAGTAAGTTTAATAGTTGTGGCAAAGCTAGCGGGTATTTTATCAAATTCAAACAATAGGCCTATGCTTATAATAATATAAACTCTCGGATGGGATTGGAAACTTGCGGAACCTCTTGGGCCTGGACTGTGCCAGAGGAACCCCTGGGTTTAAAGAAACCCCGGTTGTAAACCACTGGCATAGAAAGTATATTCAACATCTAAGATTCAGTTTTATTGATATTATACCACATTTTTCTTACCCTCAACGACCTTTTATTTAGGAACACCATGTTGACAGAAAAGATCTTGTGATCGACCAAGCCCTGATGAAGCATACTGTGTACATTTACAAATGTGAAAAATGTACCATTCAAATCAAGAACAAAGTGAATCAAATCATATTAGGTTAGTTACTCTAAAGGCCAGTTGTATTTCACTCTGAACTAATTTCGAAAATCTTTTTTGGTCCTTATTTTTGTATGGTTTAACCAATATACATTTGATGGGGTTTTAATTAAAATTGGTCCTAAATGATTTTAGAATGCTGTATATTTGGCTCATTTTATTCTATACTACAATTTGTGTTCTAATTTTAGTTATACTCAGAAAAAGAATATTTTCCTGAATTTGAGCATAGTTTGGGAAACACTGGCATACACACTTCTCTCTATAATCCTGTAGGGTTATTATGAGACATGATTGGTAATTGTATAATATTAATGTATGTATGTATGTATGTTTATTCGTCTCGTAAAAGCAATATAAAAGAGTAAGTACTTATAAATACTAAAGACTAATAAAAGTAGGATCGGTGGCCAAGCGCGAGGGGGTATAGTTTGCCGCTTTGTTGATCAGTGTTATCAAATTTTCTTTTTTTGGAGATAAATGGTAAAGTTTGAAATTTGAATATCCCATAATCGTATTCGTAATGTAAAAATTGATAACAATCACCTCAAAAATATATTAGGTAAAAAAAATGGATTATTTGGGACTAACTAGTACGGTAACTACTTTTCTTGGCCTTTGCTCAAGTGGTCTGGATGCTAATAATTATAGGGTGTTTTCGCAAAGATAACTGTTCTATTTAACTCAGTTAGTTAGTTAGTTAGTATAGTTATGCTGTCACTGTCAGTGTGCAGCAAGACTCTTGAATTAAATCTAATGATTAATTATTATTTTCCCCAATCAATATGTTATAAAGAAGAGTAGCCAAATTAATGTTATGAATATTTCCAATATGATGAATTTTATTTTAAAGAATCTTAAAATCTTGGTTACAGATGGTTGCAAGAAGACTGATGTTGTGTTTGACACAATTGTTTCAAGCCTGGAATTTGTCAATTGCCAAAGTGTTAAAGGACAGGTGAAATGATATTTTTTTGCTAGTTTGGAATCGTTTGAATTTTGTTTTATTTATTATAACATTTTTATTTTTTCTATGGCGATAAAATGAGTATTTTGGGTTCCACTACGCTTTTCATTTTTAAATGTGGAGAGTATCTGCTTATTGGACACATAGTGTACATATAGATTGTCTTGGCAAGTTCTTGTTGTTGGGGTTTATTTCATTGTTCAAAATCGATTCCTCTGAGTACAAAAATGTTGTCGTTTTATTTTAAATAAAAAGGAACACTATTATATCCCGTAATTCTCAACTGCCTTCGTATTGTTTGTCTTGCTGGTCTCTTCAGCAAACTCTGTGCTTTCAGGCTTTATTTACCGCACCAATGCCGATGCATGAACAAGTCAAATTCAAACCCTTTTTTGATTTACAGTAAAGGAATACTTTTTTTAATCGGAATCTGTTATTGATAAAAACTAAGTCAGCAAGACCAAAAACCATTGCGCATTATTATGTCCGGACTCACAAATCTCTTCTTTATTTTCAGATTAAAATTTCATCTTTATTGCTGAGTGATGCTGACTATAATTTACACTTGCTCTCCACATATTTTAACTGTAATTTATGTTGTTAGGTTACTGGAAGCCTTCCCACTTGTTCTATTGAGAAGACCGATGGATGTCTGGTGTACTTGAATAAAGATTCTCTTGATTGTCAATTCATTACTGCAAAGTCTTCTGAGATGAATATTTCCATTCCCAAGGGTCAAGACTATGTAAGTCTATTTTTGAATTTTATGTTTTGCATTATTTTTTTCCACCAGTCTGGCTTTCTTTTACCGTTAACTAGCACAAATATCTAATTGATGTCTTACGAGAGATCGCCAATTTCACACAATGTACTCTATTCATTGTACTTTTTAAGCCACAATTATTAAAACTTGTGCAAAACATAAATCTCACGATTTCAAGAGAATATATAGGATCAACTGTTTAGCATTGGGGGTTGCGGAAAATTTTGATATATATTGGAAGGGAAATATACTGTTGTACAGTCTCCTTCCTAAAAAAGTAGATAAGATAGATTGACTGAGTTAGGGGAGGGAAAAATAATTTATCACGACTAATTGTATTTCCTAAAAAGCTCCACTTATAGAATTGTATCAATATTTTCAGGTTGAATATCCGATCATAGAACAGTTCAAGACTACTTGGAACGGAACTACATTTGTTACCGAGCCGAGTGAAAGTGCAGAATAAACTTGGAACAAGAGCCCACAGCAACAAATTTTAATCAACTTTGGTAATTGGTTCAAATATTAAACTAAAATCATCATCTTTGTTAGTAGAATGTGATCATTGCAGATGGATTTCATCAGAAAAGATTCTGAATCTACAACTTAGTAGCTGTAAAATCTTTCTTCTGATTACAATAAATGTGTAAAAACTGCCAAGTTTTAGACAACAAATTCGAGCTTATCATATATATCTTACAATAAATAAAGTTATTTTAATCATGTTGTTTTTGCCACCCAAATTGTAATAAAACATTGTTTGACCTTAGTTCTACCAGTAACAGCATTGCCTCTTTCAATATATTTTCAATGAATAGCCCAGCGCAAATCAAGCTTTGTCTTAGCTCATATTATGTATTATTCTCACTTGTTATGTGAAATATCTTACTAAGTTATAATGAAAACGATTAAATAAAAGAAGAATGATGCTGTCAAAGGTCTTTCTTTTTCTACCATTATGAAGTATGAATGCTCTTTATATATATATATGCAGAATGAATGATCATTTTCACATGTTATGGGTTCCAAGTGATTTTTGTTATTATTCAGTCGGTTAATAATTTGTTTGTTGCTTAGCTTGCTAGTATCTATGCCAGTATTTTTACCCGTATATTGTCTGATTCAAAATTATCACATGCTCTAAAAGTAGATTGTTTGATTATTATTCATTTCAGCACCGCATATCATATGTTAATTTTGACAAGCATTCAGTCTTAATCCTGAAAACTTGAAAAGTCTGTTGAATTATTTTACTTGAATTTCTAAAATTATGTATACTACAACCATATTGCCATATTGTGTTTGGCCTTGTTGGCATACTTCATTTACTTGGTACATTTTGGTTACATGCTTCGTATAAAAATTCTTGAGATTGTAAAAGATATAAAGCACAAAGGTTGCAACAGTGTTTGAAATGAATCTATCAAAACTTGTCTTGAATATGTGGTTAAAAATACTGCCGTATGAAGCAATTTTTTGTATTTTGTGAACAATCAGTTATTATATATCTTGTAGACTATTATATCAGTGCCTTAGCTTAACTATCATTGTTTGGATTGTATTAAATAAAAGTTACTGGTTATGACAATTTTGTTGTATAACTTGTACTTTCACTCTATATATTGGCTTGTGTAATTTATGCCATATTGCACTGCACATTGATATTAATTTTCATTAGCCTATTGAAATTGTAATTTGGTTTAAGAAAGTTATTTGCCGTGATGTATAATGCACTGATGTGACTACGAATGAATGATGGATCGAATCCTACTGGCTTTTATGTCTAAGCATGTGCATTGGTTTAGGTACTTTCGTAGTATGTGTACCAGGTTAGGGTTAGGTCATAATTTGATTCCAATTTTCCTTATTTTAGTTCTACTACGAGTTCTGGGACTGTCTGTTTTAGCCAAGTGAAGAATATACCTTCCTGGCCATCGGCTTCAGTCCATTTGCACAACTTGATGCAAAGTAGGCGAACAAAATTAGTTAAATCTGGTTAGTTAGTTACCTTCTGGAGCGCCTTGGTTAAAGCAATTTAAAAAGAATAAGGGCCGAAGCCAATGATGGAATTCAAGGATTTAACTCGCTAACAACAGGTTTCTGCCATTTCAGAAAATGTTGCTACGTAAGCTGTATCAGTATGAAAATATAATATTAGCTGTCCATTGCCGTGCGTTCACCTATTCGTCTCGATCATTTAAATAACATATATAACAATCGCTGGTCATTCCATACGTAATTAAACGATGCGTCACAGCAAACTATTAAAAAGGTTATCACCAGTCATTTGATAAGAATTCAATTATGGGCCACCAGTTTCTACCTACAACAGACTACATATTATAAAACTACGCTGTTACTGTCTGCTTTTAACAGTACAAATAGTGAACTAGAGTTAAGTTGATCATCTACTAAAATACGAACCAATCCACAAACAGTTTGTTGAAATATATCGACCCTAATACAGACACTGATAGCTAAAAATAGTTGAAGCCTGAGAACGTGTATTGTACAAATGCAACAAAATATGGCAGTCAAGATTGAGACAAACACAATGAAAGTAACAAAGTTGTGAGAAAATGCAAGCAAGGATACGTGGCTGAAATACCAAGACTAGACAGATCTTCAATAACAGATATTCAAAAAAATCAATCTTCAGTCAGGGAGGCATCCAGCATATTGAATGATTCATTTTATGGAGCTTTGGCAAGTTGATAAAAGTAAAATTATTAATTTTTTTTAGGCAAAATTATTAAATGCAGCTTTGCATATTGCTAAAGTCTGACCATGAAAATCGGAAGAAATATTGAAACCGCCTCAATTCAGTTAATTAATACAACATGTTGCTCTATTGTAGTATTTCCATATGGTATAAGCAATTATGGTTGTTAAATAACGTGAGATGATTCCATATATTGCAATTAGTAGATTTCCTGTAAGCCACTACAGACTTAACACTGTTTACATAAACACTACAAGAATCGTTAAATTTTTGTAAGCGGAGATACAGTGATACAATTTCACAAGTTTGTAATTCGACTATGAAAGATTGCATGAATATGGAAACTTAAGAGAAAAACATTTGGTCACTTCATGGAAGGAAAAAAATGAACCAAGATTCGAGGTTTAACCTGGTCGTTTTAACAGTCGGTGAATAAGGCAGGCAAAGTGGTGAGGTGAAAATTGGCAAGAAGTGTTTTTATCCTCAATTGTATCGTCATTCTCGTTGCATCTCTCTTCTCATTTCCATATCAGCTTTTTTCAATTTGAGCCAATTAGAGAAGAGCTGGACTCGTAATTTTGACCAGACGACAACATCATGTTGGGCAAGAATTTGTGCTGCAGCTTGAGCAGCCATTTCTGGATCAATAATAGTTGCACAGCCAAGACCTTGGAAATTAAAAAAAAAATTTTTTACCCTCACATATAAATTGAATAAGAATCTTTGAATTATAATAATAGGAAAATAAGCGAGTAATGCACAAATGAATGGAAACCAAAATGGGCTTTTTGTGAAACAGCCAGCCAGATCTGTGAAAATCCATGTGGCATTGGAATTTCTTTAAAATTGGTAAAATTAGGGATATATCCAAGTACCAACGATGGAGCACAGATAAAAAATGTACCTAATAGCTTTTCAAGAGACACTTTCATGTTTAGCTATCGACAATAATGAAATCCTTTTGTCTTTACAAATGAAAACCTTATTATAAATACTTTGGTTGCTTTTTTAAAATGGTATAGTTCTTTTTCATCCAATCCACATATGCTCTAATATATGTCTACAGAAAGCGCAACTTACCCGATGGCAGTCTGAGTGACGACCAAATATCAGAAGTTGCCCACTGAGCAGATACTGGAGGACAATTAATAACAGGTAAACAACTGTTTCCTGCCATTACTGGTCCTAACCCATTGCTACGTCCAGCAACAGCTATAATCACAGTTGGAATGTGTAACGATTCTCCCTCTAATTTTGATAATATTTTCAAGGTCTCCTCAGTGCCCTTGTGTGCTGAAGTCACTCGCAGAATGCATTTCACAGCTAACTTATCACAAGTGTTTAGAATCTTCTCACAGTGGCTTTTGTCAGATGCTGAGCCCATTAACACAACCACTTGACCTGAACATATACAAGAAACCTATTAGATTAAAATACATTCGGTCGCTAATAGAATAAGACAACGTACAAAATTGTACATTTTTGACATTTCTCAGCTCATAAACAAAAATTGCCTCGGTAATATAATATGCCTGGGACCTCCCTGAAGTATGCGCACCATACCATATGTACCTTGTGATGAAATTGAATTAGCGCCACCTAACGTGGCCAACGAGGCACTATCGCCGAGCGATCTGAAGATGTTAATAGTCGGGAGCAAAACGAGGGTTTTATTTGGTTAGCGTGCGTCAAGATTGGTACATCTTGTAAATTGTTCTTTTTCTTGTTTTAGTATAGCAGTTATGTTCAAATTAGTAAAAGCCTACAGAAGGGTAAAAATGAGTTTCCCTCGAATGGTTTCACGACACAACTATTTCCAAATCAAAGCTATTTGATATGAGGAATTTCAAGTAACTATCATCAAAAACAAAAGTTTTTTTTGAACTATATAAAATTAAATGTAATAAGTTCTATGCAATTGCGTTAACATATGTTAATTTTATCTAATTTTAATCACCAAAAAAGGTGGACATAATCATTGTGAATTTAAACACACATGTAATCTATTATCGCCACTTGACATAAATAGATTAGGGATTAGGGTTAAAGATTAAAAAGGGGTCAATAGGAGGATACTCATGTGACTGAAGTAGGTGAGGGATGTGGAGTGAAATGAAATAAATTTTCGTTACCCCCAACTGTGATCAATAAAAACTAAGGTTTAGTACCAGCTCACGGATGAGATGACCATAATCATGAAATGTCTATTTCTCGATGCATATTAATAAAAGAAATCCTTCGTAAGTAATGCCAGTTGCCAGTAAGGATTATGAAACACAGGTCGTGGTCTAATTCCAACAAATACCTCTGCTGTGTAAAATAACACACCATAAATAGACAGCGAACTAAATTTTGAATTAGGAATAAAAAATTCAAAAACCTTTTGATATTTCTAATGAGTTTCTGAATTCCTCAGCCATTTGATGGCAAGTATCCGCAACCCAGGTAAAGTTTTGTTTCAAATTTTGCATTTCTACATCAGTGATCTCTGTTCCTCTGAGATTCCGATAAACCTAGAAGAATATTTCGAATACAGTTAGGCATACCAAGTTAAAAATTTCGTTAAATGCGCAATCCAATTATAATTGTCAACTATGTCTCGTCAGCCAAAATTAGGCTTGAGGCAAAAAATTACTCATTTGTAAATAGTTTCCTGTCTCCCCCCCCCCCCCCCCCCCAACTCATAAAAAACTAAAATAAGGAAAATTGGAATAAAATTATAGCCTAACCCTAACCTGGTACACATACTACGTTCCGGTGACCGCCATCTTGGTTTACATACTACGGGAGCGTCCAAAAACTTGTATTACCTGTTTATCCATCATTAACCTCTTGTCACCATTTTGCCAAATCCTCCAAGAGTCGTTATCAATGACATCAGCCAGGATAATCTCGTTTGTATCACTGCAAACACCAAACTCAATCTTCATATCAATGAGGCTGACATTCTGAAAATATTTCAAGATAGAATAAGATTTTCATATTTATCTCAGGAGAGAGGAAAGTCGATAAGGTGGCTTAATTATATGACCTACCTCGGTCTCACGTTCGGCCTCAAGTCGAGTATGGAGTTAGTTATTTGTTTCCAGATGCATGGTGGAGGAAGCAGTAACTGACCAGTGGTTATGTGAATCAACCCTAAAACATGCCCTAACCCCAACTCCACAGCCTTGTTTATTTTAAACTCGAAAATATGTTCAAGATTCCTTGGTATGACAGAATTATAATGGAACTCTTACCTTTGTTTGCCAACATCGTTCCAGTATTTCAAATATGGCAACAGTCATCTTTTCCATCTTGTCAATTTCATCCGCAGTTATCACAAGATTTCCACATTTGAGTTTGGATTCCTCAAGCATCTGCAAATGGGGACAATTATTTTACTTAAATCTATTATTATTATTAAATCTAAATCTAGCATTATGCAACGCTACAATAAAAAAAAAAAAGTGAAAAATTTGAATCTGGAAAGTGCACCAATCTAAATAGTAAACACGAGTCATACATCTTGTACGTAATGGTTCAATTGACTATTTCAATGCAGAGATGGCCAAAACCTACCATCCCTAATACATTTCAAATTACATAGAATAGCCTATATTCTAAATTCTGTCCCGTTTTTGAACAGTGAGCATATAGATAATAGTAGAGTTACAGAGAGATTAAAATACCGGTAATTGAAACAAGTTCATATGCTCACAGTCATAACTCATAAGTCCTAAATAGTCTAAATCCATGGTTCCCAAAGTTGACTGACTGGGGGCCAAAATTAGAAGCGGAAGAATATTCGAGGGCCAGGAGAGAGGAGTGTCTGAGAGGTGCGGTATAATGGTATTGTTACAAATACACAAGATTTCATTGATTCTGAACATTACTGATAGTCTTAACTGAATTAAAATACAAAAATGTATGCATAATTCTAAGATTGCTTGGCACACAAAAGCATAATTGATGATTTTCCAAATCTAAGAAAATCACATTACCTCTCTTGACCATTGGGGATCATCCTTTGCATCATCTTTGTAGAAAATTTCAAGCTTTGGTGGGTTGAATCGATATCCTTCTTTCACGCCTTCATTACGTCGAAGAAATGATCCTGTAGCCACCCGTCTTGTAACCCATTCAATGGGAATCATACTACAACGATGAGCTAAGAATGATTTGTCATCAACCTGTGAAAAAAATGATAGTTTTTTTTTTTAAAAACACACACATGGGCAAATTTTTTTGGTATCTGAAATCTTGTTAAAGATCTGTAAGAATGGTTACTTGCCAAATCATGCTCAGTCATGCAAAATCTCTACGGAATTTCAAGAAATAGATGAAAATGTTCGTCAGGTCAGGTGGTTTCGCTAATTTATACGAAGCTAGGTTGGAGGATAAATGTTAGATTTGTTACATCGGTAGAGAAGAAGCCATTTTGGGGAGGGTTGAGTAGAGTTGCACTCGAGTCACAATTTCTCAAATCAATCTAAATGGAATAACTCAAACTCACTCAACTAATCGCCAGTGAGACTTGACTTAGTTACCGACTCTAATTGGTATTAGACTTAAGGCATGGATGATTCAACTTGACTTGTGACAAGCGGTTTAGGGAATTCTAGTCAACATTGATATAGAGTCATAGACGACTAGAGAGTTATTTAGTAAAAAAAATTTCATCCACAAATAGGTTTATAAGTTAGTTAGCAGTGTGTACAAAACTACAATAACTGTTAACTAGTATGTGACAAGCAAATTTAATGACCATAAATACCTTGAATTCAAGACAGATTTTTAAAACAGATGGACTACTCAGAATTCAGAGACAAATAATAAAAACAAATTGAAAGCTACCTTCTGTATGAGTGAAGTCTTTATTCCAGCATTTTCAAGAATACTAAATGTTGCACAAGTAGTTTTGGTTGAAATGCTTGCTTTTCCTTCGAGTGTATTCTTCATCACACCATTGTATGCAGTGATTGAGTCCTAGAAAGTACCATATAATATCCATCTTTAATAAAGTGAGTGAGCACAAATATTGCTTTGAATTAAATCATTACTTTTCCTCATGTTCCCACCGTGTTTCCACGAAAACAAGACTCTTATTTCAATTGTCTTTCGAAAAAAAAACACTAGGGCTCATTCTGGGGGGGGGATGTATTTTATTTTTATTTATCAAAAACGAAATCACAGAGAAAAGAATTACGAGATTTTCGAATACAAAATTTGAAAACTGATAACCATTCACTTATAAATAAAACATTTTTATTTAAAATAACTGCTAAACATAGATTAATACTTATTAATCATTTAAAACATGTAAGAGATTTCTTGCTATCGCCTATATCAAAAAAAATTTCGTGCTTTTGACTAGGTCTTATTTTCGGGGAAAGTGAATAGTGAATAGCCTAACCGCTTTTGGTCGCGAACGATTCATTATTCGCTGTATAATTAAGATTTAAGTTTAAGTTAGACCTAGGATAATAAATATTCTGAACAAAATGGAAGGAAAGTTTGATGAACTAAAGCATAAATTGGATCTGATGGAAACAAGAATTACTAATAATTTGAAGATTGAAATGAAGGCAATTGTGGAAGAGAGTATTAAAGATCTACTGGATGAATCCATTAATGAACATGACAAGAAAATTACCACCCTGATTGATGAGTCTGTGTTGAACAACACTCAGCAAATGGCTGAGCGCCTTGAGTCCATGTTCAAACAGACTGATAATCTTGTGAACAAAATGGACTCTCTCATGGAAGACATTAATGGCATTCATGCTACAAACACCACTCTACAACATGATATTCAAATAGTGAATGCCAGTCAGAACTTTATTAATGCAGAATTTGAAATACAAAAAAGCTTTTTATCTGATCTTCATAGCAAAGTTGAGGAGCTGACAGCTTCTAATAATGCCCTGAAAGCACTGGTTTCATCTTTGCAGAAAAGGTTTGATAAAGACTTCGAGGATTTGGCCCAATATGTACGACGGGAAAACCTGGAGTTTCATGGTATTCCCTACAAAGAAGGCGAAAACACTGACGAAATCATTATAAAAATAGGCAAACTTTTAAAGATTAATGTTGAGAGACTGGACATATCAATCTCCCATAGGCTGCCTCGGAGAGACAAATCCAAAATCCCCCCCAATTATTGTAAGGTTCACAAATAGGAATAAAAGAAATGAATTCATTGAAAAGAAGCGAAATATAGTTAACATCGATAATTTTGGAATTCAAGGCATGACATCTCTTTTCATCAATGAAAATTTGACTGACCTCAGGAATAACTTGTTATTTATTGCCCGCAAGTCAAGAAAAACAAACAACTATGAACGACTGTGGACCACCAACGGCAATATTTATATGAAAAAGAACAAGGATTCGCCAAGAGTGCCAATTACAAAACTGGCTGACATTGACAACCTGAAATGAACAACTGTATCTTAAGTAGGTTTCATTTTATTTGTTAATTGTTACAATGGCTTCTTTAAATTCCTGTTCCTCATGTAAAAAGCCATGTTTAAATAATTATATAAATTGTGATACTTGTTATTCCAGAATCCACATCCCATGTTATTCTAAAAATTATTCCAACTTTAAGCCTGGTACACCCCTATATTGTTGTACTAACCCAATACCTTCTGATTATAGCACTAATCTTAATGGTGGAGAAATACAACAACATTTTTTAAATACTAGTGATTTTGATTTTGAAAATGTTGAAAGCTGTGTTTCTTTAAATGAGCGAATAAATATTTTAGATAACTTCACTCATTTAAAAAAAAATTCACTTGTTTTAGCCCATTTGAACATTCGATCTATTCAAAAAAATGTTGATGAATTGTCAAGACTCATATTAGAACTAGATTCAGCCCCATCTTTTGTTGCCATTTCCGAAACAAAATTAAAATCGGATCCTGTTGCTAACATAGAAATAGAGGGTTATGATTTCTACCATACACCATCTAGTACTAATGCTGGTGGTGTTGGTTTATATATGAAAACATATTTTTCCCCTACTTTTATTAATAATTATAACTTAGATATCATTGGATGCGAAGAGCTCTGGGTTGAAATCCCCATTAGAACTGCTATACCCTACTCTTTAACTATTGGTATCATTTATCGCCACCCTAATTCAGATACCCAAGAGTTCTCAAGAAAGTTACAAATTAGTCTTCATAACTTAACTCAAGACAATAAAAAATTTTTCATTGTTGGTGACATAAATATCAACCTCATCGCAGATTCAAGCTTTACAAAACAATACTTAGATATGCTCCGGTCCCATGCCACAATTCCATTGATAACACTTCCCACCAGAGTGACCAGTAGTACAGCTAACTTGCTTGACCAAAAATATACTAATATTTTTGATAAAGTCATAAAGCCGATTGTTCTTCATGACGATATAACTGACCATTTTCCTATTTTTTGTCATATTGAGTTAGAAAATGCACCTCCAAAGCTTGTTCCTGAATTGAAGCGAGACATGAAACATTTTAATCTAGATCGGTTCCTAGTTGATGCCCAGATTATTTTCAGCAATGAAAATCTGAGTCCTGAGATAGGAGCTGATAACTTTGAGATAATCTTTGATAACTTTGTCAGTAGAATAAAAAATTTGATTGATCAACATGCACCATTGAGAAAAATAAGTAGAAAAGAACGTAGATTAAAGCAAAAACCATGGATTTCTCCTGGTATATTACGCTCTGCCAAAACCCGGAATATGTTACATAAAACATTGTTTATGAAGGGCAATGAAACCGAAAAGCGCCAATATAAAAAGTATTCGAATACTCTAACTCATATAAAGAATAGAGCCAAAGAGCAATACTTTGCGAAGTGTTTTGATAAATATAGAAACGACTCAAAAATGACCTGGAAAACTATTAACTCAATTATTAATCGAAGATGTAAAAAAACTCATCCAAACTCTTTATTTGATGAGACTCGTAATATATCTACTGGAGACCCAAACGATATTTGTAATATATTTAATAGTTATTTTTCGCAAATTGGCCCGGCACTTGCGTCATCGTTCTCGAATAACTACGATTTTCTCAAATTTTTAAAGCAACCTAACAAATCATCTATGTTTCTTGAGGTTACCACCCCCTCTGAAATTGAGATGATTATTGACTCACTCACAACAGGTAAAGCAGAGGGTCATGACCACATGCCAGTATACTTCATTAAACTTTTAAAAAATATTATTAGTCCAACGTTATGCAAACTCTTTAACACCTCGATGACCCTAGGAATATTTCCCAGGCACTTGAAGGTTGCCAGAGTTGTACCAGTGTACAAATCTGGAAACAAGGAAATTGTCTCAAACTATCGCCCCATATCGATACTGCCCTGTCTTTCTATTCTCTTCGAGAAAATAATACTCAAGAGACTAAATTGTTTTTTGGATAAGTACTCAATTTTAAATATTGACCAATTTAGCTTTCGTTATGGACATTGTACATCACATGCAATATTGGATATTGTTAGCCAATATTATAACATTGTAGATCAGGGTTTATTAGGTTGTAGTGTATTTTTGGACCTGAAAAAAGCTTTCGACACTGTAGATCATAAAATATTAATTAGCAAGCTAAATCACTACGGAATTCGCGGAGTTGTTAATAAATTGTTCAAAAGTTACTTACAAGATAGAAGCCAGTTTGTTTATTTGGCTGGATGTGAATCATCAAGAGACAAGGTATTTGTTGGGGTCCCACAGGGTTCTGTTCTTGGGCCTACCTTGTTTTTAGTCCATATAAATGACATTGTCAATGCCACTGGAGCTTTAATTAAACTTTTTGCTGATGATACCAGCACTACGTATGTTGCAAAAATCATGTCCGACTTAGAAAACAGGGTTAATGCAGACCTGAAAAATATTTCTGAATGGCTAACTGAAAACAAGCTAACCGTAAATCCTAGAAAATCACAAGTCTTATTAATTAACTGTAGTAAAAACCTTAAAAATTCTAACTTCACTCCAAAATTTATATTGAATGATTCAATATTGAATATCTGTGACTCCGTCAAGTATCTTGGTATCACCCTTGACAATAAGCTGAACTGGCACGTCCATATTGATCAACTTGCAGGTAAACTGTCTAGAGCCATAGGTGCTATGTCTAAACTAAGACTTTTTGTGCCAAAAAAGGTGCTTAGAACTGTTTATTTTGCCCTTTTTTACTCGCATCTACAATATGGAATTGTGGCATGGGGTTCTGCTTCTAAGACCTATCTGGATAAGATCAGGGTGCTTCAAAATCGTGCGTTGAGGTTGATGAGTGGCACACGTTTTCGTGAGAGACTGAGTCCCATCTATAAAAAGTTGAATATTCTCAAAGTTGATGATTTATATAAATTTGAAATAACGAAGATCATGTTTCATTTCAAGCATGGTATGCTGCCTAAAATTTTTGACAGTTACTTCACTAATTGCAGTAAAGTCCATGAATACAACACTCGCCTTGCTGATAGAGGAGCATATTTTATCAATCGAACCAGTTCCAGTTCGGCCCGCAACTCCATTAAAATTACTGGTCCGAATATTTGGAATAGTATTCCTGATGAGATCAGAGAATCTTCTTATAGATGTTTTAAACTTAGGTATATGAGGTATCTTATTGATAAATATTGAGTCTGGGAAAAAATGTTTTGCATTTGTCGGAATCTTCACCCGTTATAGGTTTAAATTTCAATGCCTTAAGTTTCAAAAAGAACTATTCCATTTTAGATGTCATTAACTATGACAGTCTTGAAGTATTTTTGGTATGCATCTTCGTCTTTACAAATATAAACTGATTAATAGCTCTTTTCTTCTCAGGGCCATCTTACGCGTCCTCTTGATCTAATACGTCATCCATATAGCCCATTAATTGTAGATCTTGCCCTTTACATTTGTGCTCTGGGTCATGGTTTGTAACATCAATAAATTATATGCCAACTGTTATATATTCTACATTTGCACCCTTATTTTATGGTAATTACAGACTTCAGTGAATCCCATTTAATGCTCCCTAATAAGTCTGTGTTAAAATTCCTTTGTACATGTAGCATTTGTAACTTTGTATAGGTCATTTTGCCAATTATACTGTGTTTTGTGACAATGAATTCACTCGAATTTCATCTTCGCATGTAAATTTATTGCAATTTAACAATTGCTATTATTACTTAATTCAATATCCACCCAAATGATACCATCTAATGGTATATTTTGACATTCCATTAAAATTGGAAATTTTTTCATGCATTAATTTTCATCAAATGTCTGGTTGCATCTGATATATTTGAAGATACTGAATTTGTTAATAAAACTAAATGACTGATTGGGATAATCATATTACTTTCAATTTGCCTTCCAGTAAACTCTTGAGTATTTGCTTATTTACAATTATGTTATATTACAGTATTATGGATAAGTTCCTCAACCCAATCATTTATAATATCTCCTTACTTTACATTTTACACAATTTTGCTGCACCAATTACTGTACAAATATTGCTATGTGTCTGGCACACTCATGCCCTTCATGTCTTATAATGGTTCAGCTTTTGTCTCTAGCAAGTTACAGTGGAGATAAAAGTTATTTGTCATTTCTTTGTTAATGATTATCAATATTGCCCATAAATTCTTCTGAAATATTAGTGGCGATGTTTTTGTCTGTAATAGCCACATCTATCATACATAACACATGTACTGATGATCATCTTTTGCTTTATACTGTATATTAGTTGCCCCAGATGCAAATATTTGAAAATGTCAAATATCTACCCTTTTTCAATTACCCAAAAATGTATCAAGCATACAACCTCCCTGATTACACAATTGGTATTTATTAAAACTCCAGGAATATAAATTCAAGTATTCTGCAGTGGTTCGCCATATGGTTAAGCCATCTTATCGGTTTTCCCCTCCCCCAAGATAAATATGTAAATCCTATCCTGTTTTTGATATTCTGGTGGAATCTTCAAACATTTGACAATGCTAATAAGGCTAAGAATTAAAGTCCAAAATGCCCCTTACACTGATCCCCTGTGTCCTTTTCTTTTGATTGAATATAAATTTTGTGAAATGTATTTTTTTATTTTAATTTCAATGATAAAGAAGTTAGTTATATTACTAAGTTTAAATAACTTCTTAGCTTGGTTGCAAATTTTCATCATGTTGTTTGAAGCGCTTGATCCGCTGTATATACATTTTTTTCTTTATACATATATTTAAAATGTTTACATAAAGAATTATTTATTATAGTTTAAAGCCGACTGATACTATTAGTGCAACTAAGTTTCCAACTATATCTCATGTTGACTTCATTTTTCACCTTATTATTCTTACCCGTTCAGGTTATATCGTGTTTATTTTGAGTCCCAATTCATTATTAGGTATAATCTGTTTACATTTATATTATTTTTTGTTCCCAAAGTTTGTAAAAATATTACTGGTCTAACTTTTTCATTAAGTCATCTTAAAATTTGAATCTTATTCATACAAGCGAAATAGGTGGGAGTTGACCTCGATGACCGCATGGTCGTATCGCTCCCTCCTGTCCATACCAAAACAATTTTATTGTTGCACCTTTTTTACTGTATTGATGACTGCAATTTTTTTGGTTGACACATTAATAAATCTCTCTCTCACAGTAATGTTTCTTTGTATTTGTGTGTTCGTCTCTCAATTTTTCGTTGTTCAAAATGTCAAATAGCGAAAATGTTAAAACATATTCAACCTATGTCAGTTTGTTGTAAAGCTATATCTAATATCAGTACTGCAGCATATAGATTTTATTTCCATCTTCATGCAAATGATAGAAACTCGAAGACTTATACAATAAAAATATACCAACCTTTGAGAGGACCAAACATTTTCCTGGAGCTTTAGGCAATTCGTAAACGATCTTCGTTTTGCCTTCAATTATGATCGAACCTTTCTCCATGTCAACGTCTGATATATCGACTTTTTTCATCACTTTAGACGCTGGCTCTTCCATTGTATCTTGTACAAGCATTTGTGTCGGCATGGGCATGGTTGAATTTAGTAGAATTAACGAAATAATAAAATTATCAACGACAAACACAAAACGCGGAACCACGAAGCGAGCAGAAATAGTCAATAACAATGAGAGTCGAGACACGTGCCCCTTTATTTACAATCGCACGTGAAACTTTTTCAGGCTATTAGTGCTAACGCGAACGTAAATAGATGTTGTACGCACTGACAACAAGAGAGCTATGCTCAAATATATGGACACGTTGCGCCTATAGTGGCAAATTTTTATGGCGTCATAGCACACAAAAAAAAAAACGATAAATAGAAATAATAGCCTTGTAGCAAAAAATATAATCTTTACGCACTGAAAATTTCAAAGCAATTGGTCCAGTATTCGAAAAAAAGCGACTTTATAAAGATGACGAAAAATAACAACAAGAACAAGAGAAAAATATTGAAACGATCGTTATGTCCACTAAACGTGTCCAATAACGCATGTATCACGAGTAAGGCTGCAAAAGGTTAACCGATTTAAGATGGTTCACGGTTACGATTTATTTTAACCGTTAACTGACATCTCAGATACAAATCATCTTTATGATGTACAATTTCTTCAAAAATGATTTTGCCATCGCAAATTTATTTTCTGGGGCGTTAAATTCAAAAGAATATTACTAAGTGTATTGGTAAAAAACCCAATAAATTTGAAAAATAATTCAAGTACTAAGATTGCTGATTATGAAAATTTGACAATGATAAATCCAGAATCAGTTTTTGGTAAGAATATATTGTTCACGATTTTATCGATTTATTATTCGATCGTGCGATCGAATCGTCTACTCAATGTGCGCAGTTGTTGCTGTTGTTCTTTATGATATCGCAAAGTAGGATTTGCACATCGAGCACTAAATATTTTTCACATAAATAAAATTTAATAACGGAATCTGCCTTATTAAAATACTTTCATATGTTCGAAGTACGCTGCATATCTCTTGCAGCAGATCGGTCATGAAACCATCTCGATTCATGAATAATTTTGAGAGACACCGGGATAAGATCACGCGAAATTGCAGAATTTAATTCTGCGTTTCCTGCACAGTGTAATCTTGTAATATTTTATTGCGATGTTCCAACTAGCTTACACATGTATTTCGTACGATTACCAGAAAATACTACTCAAGAAACTTTCACAATATAGCTGTTTCATGTATGCCCGATGAAGAATGCCATCGACAAAACATTTTGTGGGTAAAGGATATGAAACTACGATAGCTCATATAAATATCTCAAAATGTGGCGGAGAACATTGCATGGTATGTATTTTACGTATGATTCTGAATTTTTGATTTAATTCATAATCATTGGTATATATTACAAGTAGAATCGCCAAATAGGTCGGTTGATATCATATTTTATAAAAAGGTGTTAACATGGACGAAATTTTCTACCATTATGACTAAATATCTAAAATATTAATATACTATCATGCTTGTTCTGGGCAAAAATTATAATGTACAGAGCTTTGATCGAATAGTAATCATAATAATGTTTAAATCGTGTTTTCTCAACTTTTCCTCAACGCCAATGACCTAATTTTCCTCTATTTTGATAGCGGACACGTTGCAACAACGTTCAGCTCCATGTTTCCCAATAATAGAATCAGACTGTGGAATGGAACACATATGGCAATTACGGTATTTTGCGGACCATAAGGCGAACAGTCAAGAAATTGCTTAGGTGGGTTTTTATTCATAGATAGATCCGGCGCACTTAAGGCTTATAAGGCGCACAATCAAATTTTAGAAAGAAAAAAAAAAGATTTAAAGTTCTCTTCATGTTCCATAAAATATGGTAGGCCTACGCGTTACAAAATCCAATCTATTACTAAACGTTGATGGAGATTTGCATTTCAATTTCAATTCAACGAAAAAAATATCGTCGAGTTAGACAACTTAACCTGAAATATTCGACGATAACGCAGCATGGTTACAAGCAAAGTCAAATTTTTAAATGCTAACAAACATTCATAACTTCAAATCTTCCTATTTTATTAAAAAGATCCGAACGTTTATTATTTCTTAAGTTAACCGGCGCCCCAATATTTAATGAAACAATTCGAATTGTCCAGACTACGCAGACCTGAATATCAGCCCGGTTGAAATAAAGTTCTCAAGTATCATGTTGAACCTCTCTCTATCAAAGTATGATTATTAACAGTTTCAAAAAAGAATCATGCAAATAATCGTAACTTGGCCCTCAATTAGTAATAAATAATCAAACTTACTTATTCAATTTCAAATAATATAGAACACCAGTTTCATCATTTCATCTCAAGTGCCTAGGGCAGGGGTCGACAAACTACGGCCGCGGGCCGGATCCGACCCGCGACGCTTCACTGAATTATAGTAACAAAACAGCAGTTTTGGCGATCATATTCTTTACGTAACAGAATTTATTTCGAGACACGTGTAGAATAAAACATATTGTAACCTAGTATTATAACAAGTATACAATTCACAATTACTCGTTTAATGAGCATATAATTTAATTAAAATTAGACAAATGCCAACGAAACGCAGAGAAGTTGATGTTAAGAGCTAATGGTTTAATGGTTTGATTTACTTTTGGCCGGCGAGCGACAAAAGTTTGCCGGACCCTGGCCTAGGGCCTCTAAAGGCGTGAGCCGGCCTTGGCACAACCAACCCACGAGCCACGCCATTCTACATACACAAACATGCGTGGTGAACTGTCCTATTATATATCTAGTTTTGATGAGGATTTAACGATGTTCCTAAATCGTCAAATTTGATCTGTTTTCGCAGCACTGATGAAGTCAGTCGATCGGTTATTTTCAAGATCATTGTTAAAAAAAATCCCAAGATCTGAAATTGAATCTCAAGGAATGTATTTATTCCAGTAGAATAAAAAAAACTGATTGACCATAATTTATATAAGATGGCGCGTGTCCCCGACGTAGTCGCACGCGCAATTTACAGCGTTTAGTGCCTGCGGTAGCATGTTTTACCTGTCGCGGGGCTCTTAACACAAAATTTACGGTGTTTTTTATTTTTATTTTCAGTGTGTATAATATTGTTTCGATCTGTAAAAGAGAATAACGCCGCGCCTTGAGATGTTATATAAATTTAGAAATTGTAAACCAGACATCAGACTGTCAGTTAGCACAAGAGACAGAAAGGATGAAATTGATGAACCGTTGTTCAGTCCAACGACTAACATACCGTTCAGTCTTAGTATTCCTCAAGTTGCAGTCAGGAATTTGGTTTGCGGAATCACTCCATGAAATATTGTATTTATCCTGTCGCCGAATAAAAACCACGAATGGAAACAGAATATTATGTCATTTCACGAATATTCACACATTCACCTGTTTCAAATCAACGCAGAATGTTCAATGTAATTTTTCGGGTTAATTAGCCTTGTCTTGGGCTGCCAAGCGTAACGTTGGTAATTAAGTAATATTCTGATTCATTCGATCCTTGTCAGTAGCGGTGGCTTAGGGGAAGCGCGGAGACGTAGTCAAACACCAGGCTAGGTATGAGGAGTGGGTTCGAATCCCACGAGATGGACCAGATTGTAGAAAGCGAAAGAAGACAACAAGGCAGGTGGTTGAGGGGAGGAAGGGGTCTGACGGCCAGCAGAGCAGCAGCAAAAAGCCTGTGAGGAAGTGAGAACCAGAAACCTCAGAAGCAGGCAGACTACAACGGGTAGTATAGTGGGAGACAAGAGATGGTCGAGGTAACAAAGGGGGTCAGGAGGCAAGCAATAGCGGAGGCAATAAGCAAGAAACGGCCAGCAGCAGCAGGACACAGAGTAAAAATCGGGTAGAGAAAGGCGGCAGGAGGAGGAGAAAGGTCAGAAGGTCCAGCAACAGGCAGCAGACCAGTCGCACCAGCGAAACTCAGCAGCAGAGTAAGCTAGAGTCGCACAAGCAGCCCAGTAAAAATTAAGAAAGTAAAATGTGCAACAGGTAGACCAGTCGCACCAGCGAAACTCAGCAGCAGAGTAAGCCAGAGTCGCGCAAGCAGCCCAGTAAAAATTAAGAAAGTAAAATGTGCAAGTGATTAGGGGAGATAAATAAAAGAAGTGCAGTTAATTAGGAATGACCGAATGGGGAATGTGAAGAGTCATCGAAGCAGTCAGTAAAAAAAAGAAACCAAGATAAAAGCAAAATGTGCAAGTGATTAGGGGAGATAAATAGGAAGACTATATATAAAAAACTGACCGAATGGGGGAATGTGAAATGCGTCCGGAGAATGTTCGGTGGTGACGTCATATCAAACAAAAACAAATCTCGCCTTCTGGAGAAAAATTTCATCTTTAACCAGTAAAAATTTCGAAGCAATAGGTACAGTAATGAAAGAGAAAAGCGGTTTTTTATATTTTCCACTTTTCCAACAACAAGACCAACATAATATTGAAACGATCGTTATGTCCACTACGTGTCCAAAAAGAAAGCAGCGCGAGCAGTTAGAGAAATAGGAAGAAAATCAAGATGCCCCATAAAAAAAAACTAAACACGTAGTGGGCAAGACAAGTCACACACACACAGTCAACTTCCAGGCAGGTTTAAAAAGATCCACAGCGATAGCGGAGGCAATAAGCAAGAAATAAATGGTTAGCAGCAGGTTCGAAAAGAATCACGTTGATAACAGCACAACGTATCTTTTTTTCATTATTTTGTCTTACTATCGAATCCCACCTGATCCCACGAATTCAAGAATTAATTTTAAAAAGGGAAAAGTTATAGCATTTAAAATCAGCGAACGTGAATTTAATAAATGCATAATGGCCACGTTCGTCCAATGGTCCAACATTTGATACCCTGGAAAAATATGACATATATATGCGATTCAACACTATAATTTATATTTAAAAGGTTTGAGAAACTTTGTGAAAGTTTACATGTACTTGTAATTAATGCCTTTCAAGCGAAGCACGAGCCATGTTTTCTCTCTTGCTCGTTGTGCGAATTTTTTGTGTTGAGTGTTGTAATGTTTTTGTGGCAAAGAAGCAAAAATAAATGATTGATTAAGTATGGGAAAACCATGCCGGTCAGCATATCTTTACCGGTATTGATCGACAACGATTGTCGGCGTCTTTGAAGGCACTTTGGGCCGCAAGGGTTTTTCCATTTGAAGCGTCACGCCGTCATACTGCGAATGTTGACGTTTTGCCGACATTTTTTCGCTCTGTCGTTTTTTTCATAATGCGCACCGGCTGCGATTTGTTGATGTTATTCTCAGCTACTATTGACTTTATGAGAGCAAAGGTGGCCGCCGGTGCCTGTATGACGTCGGAAGGAGCGTGCAGGTTAGCGATGGATATAACGTTCCTATTTCTGTATTTAGGCTAAACGCTGAGAAAGGAAAGAAGAAATGTTGCTTCTTCAAATGATATTCAGCCCAGGTACCGGTAGCCGATAAGTTTGCTTGACTTTTCATATTCCAGGACGGTATTCATATCGCAGTTCTTGTACATTCATACCACAAAACACTAAGCTCCTGAGCTCTCGGGTTTGCAAGTACAGAAGTATAGTCAAGGTTAAATTAGATATTTTAAGCGACAGTAGCCTACTGTAGTAAGATAGATACGGTAAATACTGAAATATGCACTATGATGAATATTCGGGTCTCATGTAGTTTCGTACCTAATTCACTTCTAGTGGGCGTAGCATAACAATTTTTTGAAATATCAATCCTAACCCTCACCTGATTACTCCATCTAGGCTACAGATCTAAAAATTATGTCACTAGGACGTCACAGTGACGTACCGTAAAAGAGCCCTTCAAACTATACGAACTGTTGTCCAAGACGAGCATCCGAAATCGAATAGCCTAACTATTTCTTTCTTTTTCCCGTCGCAACAATCTCAATATGAGAGATCGCTGACATTAGTCAGTTCTTTATCGTCGGTGCCGTTGCTATTTCGGGCGATCGTATGTATATTTGACAAGCTCTATGACGTGATTGTGATGTCTGAGTGACGTAATTTTTGGATTTCATAGTCAGGTGATGGTTAGGATTGATATTTTTAAAAAATTATTGCGATACGCTCACTAGAAGTATGTTAGGTACGAAACTACATGAGACCCAAATATTATTGTTTTCTTGTTTTAACCCGTATTAAAAAAAATATAAATATGAGTCACATTGCGGAATTTACACTAAGACTCCCTATAATCTGAATTATCACTTCTGCACCTTGAGGGGCAAATCATTATTTTTTTCAAACTTATATTGACCAACTGAAATAGCAAGAAATATATCATTTTTACAGTGAATTATATAGAGTTCTGTTATATATATATCGGTACCACTGTGCCAATTCGAAGGTATGTACAGAAGTGTCATATCAATAATTACTGAATTAGGGTCTTGAATCTTGATAATTCCTGAGGTACCAGAATGTCCTTGATGCATTGGTATTGTCATGAATGATGTTTTAATTAAGCTTTGCAATTGTTTTTTAACTTATCTAGCTTGTTGGTCTATGCCAAGTTATTTTTGTTACTACAAAGAAATGACTGTTTGTGTCTGTATATAAAAAATATAAAAATGTCCATGCAAATGGAAGTCGGACATGAGGCTGGTTACAATGATAGAGTGGGGAGTAACCTGCCAACAACATTGAGTTTGAATGGAAATAGTAATGCTTTGCAGTCTGGCATTGTTTCTGAAAGCAGATCATTTGAGAACGGAATTTTCACTCCATCTCCAGAAACCTCGGGTGCTTCTACTCCATTAAATGAAAGTTTAGTTGAAAATGGATTTTCATCGTGCGAGGAAGACGGCCCATACGAAGATGATGAAAAAATTGACAAATTTGTGAAAGAATATGTTGGCTGTTTGTTTGACCCTGATTGTGATATAAGTTATGAGAACAAAGCTAAATTTGGAGAACTAATGAAAGATGCAGGCGCTCGTATGAGCTTTGCAAAGTATGTTGATGCTTATCGAAATCAAGTGAAATGTGTTGATGAAAGCACTTTTTATAAACTGTTACATAGCTTTGCACTTGTGCTTTTTGAGTGTGGTGAGGCAGATGATTACCTGCCAGGAAAATCTCTAATGAACATGGCTTTTACATATTATTATATCCCTGACCAAAGACAAGTTTCAGCTGATGCATTGAGTTCTCAAGAAAGCGTTTCTTCATCTTCTACCACTAGTAGTGTTGATGGTCACGTTACAAAAAGATCAAAATCTGACAGTGATGGTTATGATGGCTCCAAAAAAAGAACTTTAATGCAAAGATTCCGTAAAGAAGTTGAAGCTTGCAAGCAGGTCTTTCATGATACACCTTCATTTCAAGAATTGAAGCAGGGTTTTTGGCGTCGTCCTAAGCATGAAGGTGCTGAAACCAAGCGCTCTGAGCAAAAATTCTCACGATCTTTGAGTCATGGTTCTGCTACTTCCCATCCTGACATGTGCAGTCCTGCAGTTAAAAACTTTCTATACGAGCATTTAAAGAACCAAGTCATTTGGAAATCATTACGTTTTTGGAATGCTGCTTTTTTCTCTGCCGTTCATGCAGAACGAAAGCGGCGATGCATTCAGAAAGATTGGACAGCACTCTCTGCTGACGAACAGGACAGCACTAATGACGCTATCGTAAATATAACATTTGGGCAATTGGGAACATTTATAAATAATATGAAATGTCTCGGATTAGATAATAAAACATGCTACGAATTTCTACGAAAACAGAGCATTATTGGTGGCATTGAAGAAGGAGGTCAATATTATGAAATGTTGATTGAACAAATCGAGGATGACACCACATTTTAAAATATTTAAAACTCAAATTGGAAACCCGTTGAGTGGTTGATTCAGATGCAGTAAAAAACTTGATTATAGCGGTACTGGTACATGATTTTTATTATTTTCATTCTATTTCATGTTCATTGGGATATTATTTCTAAGTATTAAGTCTCCTTTTGGATTAAAATTTTCACTTGTTCGCGCTTGGTCCAACTGTGAACCATATATTATCCATAGTTGGATTCTATGTATCTAGCGAGACTGGCATGAAGCCTTTTTTTTTCAGTTTCATTCATTCTAATTCAATGGTGTGGTGGATTTTATTTACTGGTGAAATTGCTGACATGGTGATTGTATACAATTTTGTTACCTGTTATTTCATGTGCATTATAATAATAAAAACATTCATACCGCACATTGTTTCACACACTGTATAAAAATCAATAGTGTGACATCATGCATGCCGGTTATGTTCATAAAGTGTGTACATATAACAAATAAATTCTGTCTAACCATATATGTACAGAGACCATATTTATATTTGTTCTCAATCATACCTGTTGCAAATATTCAAAATACCAGGAAATTATGCGAAACAAAAATTTACCAGGAAGTTTTATTTTTTATATTTCAAATTTGACTTAGCGTACCTATGCGTTGACTAAAATTCCATCATTAAAACATAGAATGACTGATAAAATTTGCATCATAAGTCAAGCTTACTAGATGGCTCATTCGATTATTCAATAAAACTCTCACCACTGCCGATAATGATAAAATACTTTGTATACTTTTGTTCAATAAGTCATTACAAACTTTTTTTTCAAGATATTTCAGTTATATTTATATTTTTTGCCATATACCCATAAACTTGAAGCAAAAAAAAAATTGAATAAGAGGATTTTTTGTCCATATTAGTTGAAATATTCATAACTGAGATAAATAGTGAAAAATTTGAAATATTCGTGCTATATTTTGGTTATATTTTATATAGACAGTTGGTACAAATAAGGCATCCTCTTCATGTTTAAAATATAACATATAACCAGATTATAAAATCTGATATTGTTTTATTTTTTTATTCATGGAAGTACAAATGTAAAAACACAATGTAAATAGTACTAAATATTGTTCTTTATTCTATTTGTTGAATTTTACTTTTGCGGGGTATTGGCAATATGTAATTCAGGCTTTAATTATTATATTGTATCTAATATTTATCACTGTCTTCTTGAGTGTCTTCGGGTTATGGCCACCATTCATCAAGCTCATATCTAAAACCTTTATTAATTATACTGCAGTTGTATGATGATGGACAGTAATATTGAGTTGGAACTTCATGTATATGATCTATATTCTTGTTTAGAAGTAATGAATAATGTATGAAATTCTGCTTAAACTTAGACCGAATTTACAGATGGTCTAAAAGATATAAGCATTTTCTCTTTTTTCCATGTTTATTTGCCACAACATGGTTATGAGCTCAACTAAAAGTTAATAATATTGATAATGAGCTGCAAATGACTGCATTCATTTCATATTCATTCAAGGCATGGTTTCTATCAGTCACGTGTAATTGGAAACTAGATATTGGAGTGTTAATGACTTTGTCACATATACGGTAATATAATTTGCAGTTATTTTCTTGGTTTCTAAAAAGAGATTTCAATGTATTGGCATTTTCTATTTTAATATTTTTCATTTGTCTGATTTTTTAAAATTGTTTTAAATATTAACTGTTGTTTGGTTCCATATAATATAACGGTTACTCTCCAATCGATATTATTATAGCCACTAAAAACATTGTTGAATTAGACATAATGGGAAGGTATAAAAAACTTATTCATCAATTATTATAAAAAGCCAGATAAACTTTCTTAGGTGTTTCTAACATAAATTATATGGTTGATTTTAAATTTCTTTTAAATAAGTTATATTACCGTAACTATGTTGTTTAAAGTTTTGTGTGTAATACATAAAGAGATAGATATGTGGAACATCTCATAGGTGACAGCAGCGCAGTTGTTTCTATGAAAATATGAATTGGAAATGCAAATTTAGTGATTTTTGCGCTTATGTAATTCTCTAGGGAATTTTTATTCCAGCTACTTATCGCTTCTATAATATAATTTGTGTTAATAAAATCACATAAAACATCTGGTGCTTTTAAACCTTTGGAGAATTGACCCTATATTGATCACAAGAAATTTTGTTTTGCATCTGTATCTGGATTCATTGATGGAAACAAATTAAATGTGCAATAAGTGATAAATTTGAGTTGCAGGTGAAGAGCTTAGCAAATATTATCCGCTGTTAAATTAATTGAAAGCTGCTTGTTTCAAATTGTTCAAAAACCGATTTCATTCACTGTTGGTTTGACAACGCATCTTTTGGCTTGTGCTCTCTTTTAGCAATGCACTTCTTTCATAACACATATATGAATGGCTTGAGGTATAAGCTTATGGTTCAATTTGTGGCCTAGTGGCTTCAATGTCAGGCCTTTTCTTAGTTTTACATTGTTGTGTGCACAACTTTGCCTTGGATGTAATAAGTTAGGTGAGCAACAAGCAAGATTCTTTTCTTGTGCTCGTTATGAAGTGTTAATATTTCAAGAGCCTTGTTCAGGGTGAACAATGTCTTGTGATAAAAAAAAAACTGTGTGCACTGAATTGACATATTTTTTATATATATACATTTGTTATGTTAACTGCCGTTAAAAAGTTTCTGCACATTATTCGTTTCTTTGCTTGTGGTATTTGAACCTTTTTGTGACATGTATTTGTTTTATTTTCATAGTTGGCTATTGTTTGCATTGGTTGATTTGTTATTCATGCATGTATGCAGTCAATAGCTTGAATAAACAAGTACTAAAATGCAACAACATTGCATTATTGTCAATGTGTGATTTTGATTGATGATCCAACATGTTTGCCAGTGTTGTTTAATTTGCGAAGAGCAGGTGCGTTAAGGGTTTTTCATAACTAGATATGCTTTGAGCAATATATTGTGCCTCAGATAGCAAAAACATTCAAATTGTAAAATATCATATCCTTATAAATAGATGCTTGCTTTATAAGTTTTCGATACCAATATTATGGTGAAATTGTACAAAATTAGCAAAAGTTTCCATCAATGCAATTTTTTTGTGATCTTTCTATCACATTAGCATTTTTCAGAGCTCAAAAATAGCGCAAATTCCTCATTCACATTTCGGGGAAAATAAAATAATATTTGATACGGAGTTGACACTACTGGGCCAATCCTTCTAATATTTTTACAACATGAAGATGGAAGAAGAGTATTAATTTAAATTTTTAAAATCTTTTAGAAACCTATATTTCACCCCAGATTTTGCTGTTTCATTTCATTTACTTCTTAAAAACACTTCCTTTTTGACATTTGACTTTCATGTTCATATACTTGTGCATAGGTCTCTTGTTTAATATTAAATCTACTGATATTACTGAGCGACTTCAGATATCGTTGTGTAAATGTTTTAATTATTAACTACTGGTAAATAGTACAAGCTATTCATAATTTCCTGTCAAGATTGTTGACACTTCTAAATAATTGTTGACTCATTAATATTGATGAGAAAATTCAGTGTCACCTGAGTGCAAAGTTGTGACTCTTTGTTTTGACAGATATGCGGATTATATTTAAACTGACATGCAGTGTTAATATTGTTATGATATTTTCCTAATCTTATTAGGTTGTAAACAAATTCTAAGAGTTGCTATAAATTGTTTATTTAATGTTGGTGCCATACATTTGTTAAAGTTGTAAAGTTTATCTTGTTGGCAGTGTTCATTCTCCTGATTTAAATGTTGTTTGGGCCAAGACCTGGTGTATTTATATATGTTTGAACTATTTTCACATACACTACATATAATTAAAAAATAATTGCTAGCATATTCAATTATGATATATGGATTATCGTTAAAATTTTGTTGGAATATGTTTAGCTTAAGAGTTTCAAGCATTTCACTACGGACCTTTAATACAGTAGCAAATCAACCCTTGTGAAATCAATATCCCTCATTAAAGCACTTGCATCTGCCCAAAATAGTCAATGGATTTGGATCATAAATGGATTTTAAAAGGAGATACAAGGATTTTGATCAATAAGATAATTTTCAATCAAGCTGCTAGGGAACGAAAGTGAAATGAGATGAAATTCTTCAAAAACTATCTCTAATTCCGACCTATTTCTGGCCCTATTGGAGTGATAAATTTACTGAATGACTTTTTGGTACCCGTACACACCACACAGCAGTTACATTCTGAGGGGGCAATTTAATATCAAATTTGTATGACATGGGGAAATTACCGGTACTATAATAATTATAATAACTAATAAGCCGGCATTCAAATTAAGTTTATTTTTGGAGCAGGTACTCCGAAATTTGTGACAACGAACGTGTTTAAAAATATATCTCGACCGTGCGTGTCACAAATATGCCGCGATGGAAGCATGGCCAAAATTCATGTGTTTTATCACGTAAAATTTCCGGCTGTAGATGCAGGAGCAAGAATTGAAACTTGTTACTGCCAAAATGTTTGCACCTGCCACAGATTAATTATTATCAATAATATTCCTGGAGCGCGAAATCTAACGCGTCGCCGCTAACAAAATGCCATTGTATTTTTTTGAATAAAACAGATATGAAATAAAAATGATATCTACCAGTTTAAACGTAATTCATTTGGATATCGACATTGATAAAAGTTTCTTTATTTGTTGCCAGGATGGAATATGCTTAATAGTTTGTTTACCTCTCGATGATAAGTACCTCTCATATTTATTATTAAATTACACAAGCGTGATTATTAGGATACTCTTACATATTTAACGCATTCCTACATAGCTTATTTTTCCCGAGAACTCTTGACATATTATTCTTAAAAGGAATATGTATCATGTCTGAAATGACAAATAGTACCGGTATCGATTGCTGCATTGCGGCATGCTCAAAACTTGCATTTGTTATGAATTGTCTTGTCTGCATTCGCTTTATTTTATCGACAAGTCGTTCATGCTTGACATTATTTTAAAATTTGAGATGTATATTTATACTGTATTCGGAAATTTTCGTTTATATGGGATCCAGGCGGTTAATTCTGAATAAAATTAAACTTTGATTATAATATTACAATGTCGATAACGTAAATAAGATCAGTTCTAAATTTCGTATAAAATATTCAGCTTTTCGTTTATGAACTTAGCTAGAAATATTGATGGTATTATGCTTCATGAATATAACATTGCAATATATAACGCTCGAGCAATACACAGGTCAAGTTTCATGTCCTATTGATTTTCGCATTTTAATTAAAAATCCCGCCTGAATTAAAACGTATTCTACTCCTCTCTCTCTGATTGAAACATATGAAACAGAATATTGATTTGTTAAACCAAAAGCTCTTAATTACGTCCCGAATATCAGCATAAATGCCAGAGTATTTGTCGGGAAATGTGGCAACAGAAGTTAGTTGATTGGTGACTGATTTGACATTCTTCTGCAAATATCCTAAGAATTCGAAATGGGTCGGCCATTCATTCGTTTATCTGCAAGAACGACCGATTTAAAACTAGTTTTAATCACGGAACAATGTAAATTTAGCTATTTTCTGAACATGCCACTTGTCACGTCCATCGGTAGGATATCCCAAACGCTGATGATCTCCGGTACAGTAAAATTATAGCATAAACAAACCAAATGTACCCCATTTCATGTTGAAATTACCAAAACAAATTTAATTTTTCCCGAAATTCAAACAAAGACTTTCGTAGGAATCAAATTACTCCACGTTTAAGAACATAACAAGTTTCGTCCGGGCATTTTCAAATTGAAATTTATTTTATCACGATATTTAAACGCCGATTTAAAAAAATATTAAATATCCATCATATTCGCTATAAAATGAGCAAAGCCTGGAAGTTTTGGTCATCAATTTGTTACGGTAATATCATTTATCCCGGGAGGAGGAAAGGCGATAAGACGTCTTAACTAATCACATTGCGTACACCGACCTCTCGTTACGTCAGCAATAACTGGACAAAACCCCGATTCTGAGTCATACTAGATCGAATCCCATGGTCACCTACCTGTCTGAAATGCAACATCGTTGTTGTAAAATACAGGCTCACCTTACTTAAAACCTATTAATATCATCAAGCCTACAAATTAATTACAGTTGTAATGTGCAGGATGACAATTTATTGGAATTAAAATAAACTAGCAGCACAGGGAGGCATTAAATCATAAAACATACACAAGTCAGGTATGGGCCACTGCAAGAGAGCGCTCAATGGTGACATTGGCCCATGCTCAGCAGCAACCAGTGAGAATATATTTAAATTATCACATTCCCGACTTCGGTGACAATTTATCATGAAAGAGTATTGGATTATTTCAATTGGCCGAAGTATTGTTTAGTCTTCACATGATCGACTAAACCACGAGCATAATTCTACTGCTATACTACTCAATAAACCGAATAACTTGGATTTCTCTGTCTAACCAATATATTCTATGACTTCGGAATAATCAATTCATTAAAATTAACATTGAAAAAAATCTATATTTTTAGAAGTACGACTCCGACCAACTAGAATGATATTCATTTTGTGGGTGATTTCATTTTAATGTTTAGAGCAGAGAGAAGGAAAGAATTTATTTTTCGCCAAACCGGAAATACATAATACATCGATAATATTAAAAATGAGAAAATCAGAAGTTTTCGGTAGATGACTCTCGAGTCAGAATGTGGGGCAAAAATAGAATCAGATATGGACTCTAATAGCCTAGTACCTCGGGCAATGAACATACATTGCATAATGCTGCCCGTAAACAAATAGAATTAAAATAAAATCATTTTCTAATAAATTGCATACAATTGCTACTATGTGAGAATGATAAGTGCATTGCACGGTGAAATAGAATTAATGATTAGTACATATATAGCACAGTGAATATATGTAAAAATGACGGCGGCACTTTTTTGCTAAATACAAAATTAAGAGCACTGTTAATTAAAACTGAAATGTGAGGCACTCAGGAATAATAGGAGAAAACACTGCTTAAAGGCAATAACACATGCTAGAAGGGTAATAGCAGACACACAAAAAGCACTATATAAATTTTATGTACAGCAAGGCACAAAGGAAATAGGAATATCGCTAAAAATAAGCTCTTATTAACAATTGTGAGACTCATTAGACAGAAATATATCCTATTTTTCAATTAAAAAAATTGCTAAACATAATAATTATAAAAACATGATTCAGTATTAAAAGCATATTGTAAGGATTATGATATCAAAGTATCAATACAGAACAGATAATAATATGTACACGAATGAATAAAAAATAGACTGAAATTGGAACACCAAATTTGCAATCCTTGCGAAAGGTAGTATATATGTCCTGTGTGCAGAAGTAAAAATGAAGTTTTACATTTGCTTCGAATTAAATTATCTGATAATAGACGGTCATATTTGCATTATAACGCACTGCATAATCGTAGGTTATGGCACGATTTCTCTGACAAAATCAGACTGTAATCAGGACAGATCTCATGAATCGTTGGGAATGACATTTCCAATGGCAAACAATAGAAGCAACTCAGAGCAATTTGTTGAATAATTCATTAGGATGACGCTGTGAAGATCAGATGGCAGACATTCTCATTTGGAATCATATTCCAGGCTTGATTGACTGCCAAAGGAGAATATGATGTGGTTTATCATCAAAAATTCAGACAGCACAAAAGGCTTGTATTCTGTCAATTGTGGCATGGCAACAGGATTTTCATATTAAAAACTGCATAAAATTGATTAATTGAAATTAACACTTAGCATTTACACTAGAAAAAAGAAAAAATTTCTGTGAAGAAACTCCGAAACCTGATTTTTACAAATGAAATCCTACATTGGTGATCACAATTGAAAGGATGCTATATGCATAAATGCCATCCAAATTTAGGACACCCTACAAAAAACATTTCCTGAAATGAGATTATACTTCAAAACTTATTTCCTATTGCAGTGTACGACTCATTGCAAGTTGTTGTATTAAGTCAATTGGAACGAAGCAACATCTCTGAAAATTTGAAATGCAGGTTCAAGACATAACTAGAAAATGAGAGGCGTTGATATCCCTATGATTAAGCGAAAAACAAATGCTGACACAAAAATTTTCATATCGGAAACACGTTGTCTTAATGATGGAGGATGTACGCCTTAATGTGCTTTGAGTAACACTAAAATCCCACATTGGTATCACTCACAACCAGAATATGAAAGGGAATTGACATATGATTAATCCAAAAATAAATGTCATGGCAGCAGCAAAAAATCTCAAAGCAGAAATCATGAAAACACTAATATAAAAAATATAGTCACTTTAATGTACCATGTGTCAAGGTGTGCGAGTACACTTCCATATTATGAGCTTTCCAAATTTCTTGATCTATAGCAGTGGTCTGAAGACTTCATGTACCACGGGGCCACGTGTTGAAAATGAGGTAGTTCGACGGCCACAAAAAAAATTTTGTGGGCCGTATTTAGCCCACGGACCACAGCTTGTTAACCGGTTAACAGTACAAACCATCACAAATATGAATCAAATGCTCTGTATCTTTAGCTGATTCGTTCCCCTGGGTTGTACTTGTACATTATAATTTCCATTACATACAGGGGGATCCAATAGAGGATCCGTCTCTCCATCTGATGTAGAATCATATGATGCATGATTTGTAGTAAGTAGGCTCGTGCTTCGTTGACTTGGAATTTCAAATTCTTCTCCCAGTGGCTGGCGATGAAAATAACATGAGATGACGTAAAGAATCAGCATTTCGGGTACAACAGCGAAATGATGAAGAACTAGTGAAAAAAACAAATGTATAAATATATTAACACGAGAATATCGGTCAGAGACCGAAGACTTATCCATCGAAAGTTAGGGGATCCCCCAAAACAGCGCTCTTATTTCATAGTGACACCTTGTGTCCCATCACTAATTAATTAATAACTCGCTAATTATATGACATAATTCGCCCCAAGTCAATAGGCTTCTGGTCTGAGATATGATGAATGCACATGCAAAATCTGGAGCAGATTCTATCTCGCTTTCGTGAGATATCGCGTGCATCTAACAGACAGACAAATACCTATCAACATATTTACCGATTAAAATCAAGAATGGTTCCAATACATTCAGACACTGTTCGCTGACATTCAGTGGTTTTGAAGGTGTGTTACCTGCTGAGCTAAGCACAGGGTTTTCAAAAACACTTAGGGACAAGCGTTCCCATATTTCATAATAGTGTTGTTGCAAATTGAAATAAAACAGCAAATTTTTGATATAAGGGTAGCCTTCTTGCGGCTTCAACCTACTAAGACTAAAAATTTGAAATTGATTGCTTTATTAATTACAGAACAAAAGTGAAACAATTACCCTAAGTACAATAATTTCGCGAAACGATACATATGTACACCTGTGTCTGATTGTCAAATACTTGAATAAAATAAAAAGGCCCAGTCATAGAATATGAAAAAAAGCTTTCTGGGAGACATTACCATCTCTAACTACAGAAAATTTGAGAGCAATTGACCCAATAGTTAGAGAGAAAACACGGTTTTCGTTACAACATGAACAACAACACTATGCCCTATTATAGCAGAGAGGAAATATGAAAATATACAAAGGCAACAACAGTCAGCCAGTAGTTTATTTTATCAAAAGCCGAAAGTACACATTGTACAAACATAATTTTGAAAGATAAAGAACACTTTTTTTTATGGATGGAAAAATGATGAATATGAAAAAAAAACTAATGCCCCAATAGTCATTCTTACATATTTTCATAGAAAATTTCACAAAATTTAAATGAAAATAGAGTTTATTACTATTTTTTGACTTTTTTTCTGAAAGTTGTACATGTGACAAGCCCACAAACTTGTTTAAAGAAGTGACGCTTTAAGAAAAACCTATTATAATTACCTGCAGCTCTATCAGCAGCATTGAGTATTCCTTTACATTGAATTAAACCAAATTTTGTTAGAATGTTGAAAGCAAATTCTTGGAATCCAGATATTACCATCAATGCCTGAAAATTAGGAAAAAAGACTTTAGTTTAGCCCAACTTAGCTACTTATGGCTATACTGATGGTGCTGAGTCTTAAGAACATGTCAAGTGGTAGCGTGCTTTTCAATGCATTGATGCTCTGCAGTTTCGCAAGACAAAATCATTTTGTTTTCGTGAAAGAATGAATATGTCAGTGGTCTATTTCGGATTTTTCCTGACCATCCAACCCTAAATATCTGGACCAGCCAGCAGTATTCAAACGAAAAGACACCATAATATTTAGGTCATTTCACTGCTATTAACATATAATAATTTGAGCGAAAACCCTTCCTAATCTGTTATAATCCCCATGTGACTTCTGGCGCTCCAGAAGTGGGTGTATCAATATGGAGGTAACCAAATTTGTTTGCCTACTTCACATCAAGTTGTGTAAAGGGACTGAAACCTATGGGCAGGGTTATATCTACTTGACTAACACATACAGTCCCCGAACTCGTAATAGAACTAAAATAAGAAAAATCGCAATAAAATTGTGCCCTAACCTGGTACGCGTACTACAGGAGTACCTGACTTTTTATACAACACCTAACTACGGCTTTTGCCATAGGCCCGGTACAATACAATCATCCACTTGTATCACATCATCAACAACCAACCTGGACAGTGAGAAACTTCCCATTGATATGATGAGGATCCAATTCCTTTCTTGCAGTCCAATATAACGAGGTGATCGCATACATGGCTATCAGAATGCTGACTTTTTCCACGATCACAAAATACAACGATGGACTGGTTAATGATAACTGTAAAAAAAGAAAAAAGATTGTATATCTTAATATTTAATATTAGAATGTGAATTGAGTTCTTGATGTTAACAAAAGGCAATGTCATATGCTTAATTCTGCCTTCAAAATCATAGTTTTATCAGAAATTGTAGAATTAGTTTATTGAGTACCGGTACTATCATGCTCATGTTGCATCTGAATATCCAGCCGAATAGGAATCAATTCTCTATTTTTTTAATGTGAGATGTGGGGTACTCCCATAGTGTGTGTATCTGCTTAAGGTTCGGCCATAATTTTACTCAGATTTTCCTTATTTTAGTTCTATTACGAGTTCGGGGACCGACTGTGTTAGCCAAGTGAATATACCCCCTGCCCATAGATTTCAGTCTCTTCACACAACTTGATGTAGAGCAGGCGAACAAAATTAGTTACCTCCATATTGATACACACACTTCTGGAGCACCAGTTGTAGAATGTAAATATTTGTGATACATACAAATGCTGTGAACTAGGCCTAAACAATAAACATGACAGGGATTTTTCGGAAAGCTTCCCAATCTCTAGTCCAAGGGCACCTCTTTTAGTTGGGCGTTTATATGGTGCTGAAACAACCCTTTCTGTTCACTTATTATAAACTTAAATAGGCCCTGCCAGGCCGAGAACAACAGTCAAAGTACACAGAAATTGAACATGAAACTGAACAGCTCTTCAGTGAGAGCCTATCAAAAGCAATATACGACTGTGGTGTAACAGCCTAGATGGGTATTAGGTGGTCGATGCCTTATTCTCCCAATTTTTCTATTTTTCAATTAACGAAGCTACGCAGCCTCTTTGGAACACCCTGGTACAGTCATAAATACTCGGATAGCTTTTTTTAATAAACTCTGTACCATGATTGGTAGAGGTGTTACTTACATCACTATCCAAATAGAGTCCATTTGTCCACAGAAAAGCAGATATGAAGTCAAATATTGGATGCAGTATAGCACTTTGATAAACTCCTATTTTGATGAACATGACAAATTTCCTGCAATAACACATATGACATAAAACAGGGGTCTCCAACTCAAAATATACCATGAGCCACTTTTTAAAATTTATTGACGACGTGGGTCACAAACCTAGAAATTAGGTACAAAATGATATATAAAAATTAACAATGGAAATCGGAATATATTTGTTGAAATTACACTTGAGTCTTACACCAAACGAGACATGAAACATATGCAGAATTAATGATTAATAACTGCACACTTTAATGATCTGATCGAAACTTGTTTATTTCGTCATAATAAAAACGAAATGAAAATGATTGAATTTACAATTTGATTATTACAATAAAATAAAATATGAACAAGATAAAACTCATAGTTGACATGGTACTATTTTAGTTTTTTCTTGAAGAATCTCAACCACAAGGCGGGCCGCAAAAGCATTGCGAGCCGCATATTGGAGACCCCTGACATAGAATGAATGAATTTCCATTTCCTGATGTCATAGATTAATGAGTCATACTGTTGATTCAGAATCCCATAAATTATACAAGAATGCATGATTCCAACACTAATCAAATATTTGAACAGTAAGACTCAAATTGAACTAGTTGGACGAGTTTGGGATTACAAGACAGAGTATTCGTTAGCACAGCGATTCTCAAACTTTTTTAGCCTCGGAACACTTATTTTTTTCATCTCACCTTTTTTCTGCCTGTTTAGATAGCAAGGCGTGTCAACCTGTTTGTCGCCAGCTGCGAGACAAATTTGTGACCCAGAGTCGCAGAGGTACATGGCTGAGATCGCCATGGCGACCAATTAGGTCACAAATGTGATCCCTGTTCCACAGAACCCTCCATCGAAGCTCACGGAACACAGTTTGAGAAACGCTGTGTTAATATATGGTCGATATTCACCAAAGTAGAATATCAACACGAAAACTGCCTCAAATATTAACAAGACAATATACTGTTGAAGTACCCATAATTCAAGTTGGCAAAATTGGTACAAAAATGACATACTTATTGAAATAAACCTTCGGACAGCAGTAAGAGCACATGCAAGCAAATGGAGTGACAGAGATTCGGGCTTGGAGTCCTCCAAGATGTCCAACTGCATAGTCTGCACCCCCGAGGTAATGAAGCATCAAACTCATAAGTTCTTTTAATGTGAAAGAAAAATATCTGAAAAAAATTACAAATACCTTGAATTTCCACTTCAAAAATAAACATTTTTGTAACCTTAATATATTATTTTATGTCTCTCTAGTTCCTATTCTTATTCCTTCTCCAATAACAACATTCCTGCAATCAACAATTGTGTAAAAATTCATTGGGAATAGAAGTTTTAACAATGTTAGCAATAAAAGTAAAATTATTCTTTCAAAAAACACTTACTCATAATTAGAATAATATATGTCAGCTTTGATAAAGATATGATAAAATATTTTGATAAAAGACCAAGCACAAAATTGATATCTTCGATTATCAAAGGACAAGATTATAATAAAATTTCGCTTGATTGAAGCATATATAACATTATTATCACTGATATTAGATCTCTGGTATTGCAATACTACTGCTGTTGCTACATCTCTCCCTCTTTTAATGGTTAATAGAAAAAAATTATTAAAAGTATGTTTCTGTTACGATCAAAATTTAGAACTTACACAATGAAGGCAAGTTCTGCTAAAGTACTTGATCTCGGTGAAATGATTGCCAGGAATGAGCTGGTTGAATATGCTACATATGAAAGCTGAAAAAACAATTGGACTTGATTTAAATTTTTAGCGAAGCATCAGTTACACATTGAACCTGAAATATTCCAGTTGTTCCAACACCTCCCACATATATATGGCTGCACCAGTAATCATTGTTTGATTTATCTATTACTATTGACTTAAATCACGGGTGTCGCCGCTCATTAACCAGTAATGGTGTCACACGCCTCCATTTACCCCGAAGTACCATATTACTTCTTTTTTGTATTGTTTATTCATAAAGTGTAGTTACATACTATATTGTTACATATTAGTATGGTGAAAAAAAAATCTGTTACTAGCCAGTGGAACCATAAAAAAAAAGATTTTATCCAGGCAATGGCATGTTTTTCATTTAATTTGGTTTTGAATTATGTAGCTGAGGGGCGTTAGGTCAAAGTTTATCTAAGAATTATAATCTGAATTTATGTCGCTAACCACTAATTATTCTTTAAGCAAAATATCCTTTATGTATATATTAGGTCACAGCTAAAGATGCACGAATTTAATAAAGGACAAACATACATAATACCGGTAAATCATATATTATTTTGACATATAACAAGCAATTTATGGTGTGAAGTGTACCTGTATAATAAGAATACTTTGCAGTCTTGATGAGGTTGATGATTCACGTTTAAAATGAAAACAATCGTTTAGGAATATGAAAATGAGAAGCAATGTCGTCAATCCTTCAAAACCAACTGCAACTGCTTCGGCTGTCGATATGTCTGAAATAAAGAAATAAATTTTTTAACATACATGCAATTTAATTTAAATTCCTGCTTTTCTGAAATTATCGAATATAGTAGAATAGTATAAGACAGATGTTTTTATACCCATCTTCAACTAAATATTCACATTTGAATATCAATATTTCATCTTAGGAGACAAAGTACCTAAAATTCGTCACGTTATGAATGGTAAAAAAATCAGAACACAAATAAAAAAGCACTACTTACGAGCGAAGAATGTTGTGATATTAGGACTAACATTATTTGAACAATTGTTTGACATTTTTTGTGAAAGGAGTTGGTTATATTCATTATGTCCTGCTAATAATTCTCAATGTTTCAGCTATGTTATGAGCATATTGTATAGTTCCAAATCTAGGCAAAAAAATATACAGATAATATTAGCTTGAAGTACTAACGAACTATTTAAGTTCCCCATTAAGGTGAAAATGTATTTGAAAATTAATAAGTATTGAATGAATTACTCATTTACATTTAAACCAGCAATCATCATCATATGAGCACTTTTACGTGAAAATAATTAGTAAATTTTAATATGCTGAGTAACCTAGCAATTATTTTAATTAGCATGGCACTATGACTACAATTATAGATCTACTATTGTTGAAATCTATCTACCAAAAGCTTGAAAAGCAATTGCATAAACTTGACTCAAAAACATCTGCAACATGGTGACCGCATTGTACTTGGGAGAATAATATCAGAGATATAAATCATGGTATAAACGGTGACCGTACATTTGAACCCACGTACATTTGAACCCATGTGTATATCCACGGGTTTAATCTATATGCGGGTGCTAAAACCCATGGGTTAGGGTTAGTATGGGTTCAACTATCCGAAAAACAAAAAAAATTCCATAGGTGCAATAGCATACAGGTGCAATTGTCATGGGTTCAAATGTACGTGGGTTCAAATGTAATGGAACCGGTATAAACATGTTCGGCAGGATAATGAAACAATGTTCTCATGGACAACCATAAACAAGACCATGAGACTACATAAAGATTTTATGACCGATTCACTGCTGGAAAATATACAAGTAACATAAATATCCACTACATCAGTCGCTTAATTTTTCTTTTCTGCTGAATTAATAAAACATGTGAAATGAAGCATGGTGGTAAATTGGCAGTGCAACATTACATGCTTTGATACCTATTCGGTTTCACACATTTTAATCTAAAATTTTACAATCACGGGGTGAACTGTCAAAACTGTTCAATTAAAAAAAAAAAAATTATTCTGCCAAGTTGTTTTTCACATGTTTACATGAATATGCCTCTGCCCGTTCCAACGGTCTGGAAAAGGGTGTTGTTATCCGCCATGCATCGAACCAAAAAAATACTAAAGTGCTCCACACCACACATACACCGCACAATCCAAAACATGGAACAACTTCTTCCCCATTCCAACACGCATGAAATATGTATATACATATTGAAAGAAATGTCAGACAATTTTGTTAAACAACTATTTTGTCAGTTTTTCATGGTCAAACATTGATTAACAACACCCAATAAATGATTGTTTTCAAGAGCTGCCGCTACTCTTTCTTTGTCTGCTAGTTGTTTATTAACTGCAGTCTCTGATTGATGTGTTCCTTTCGCAATTTTAATCTCAACTTTGAACCTTGAAGGTAAAGCTCTTAGAAGTTGTACTCTGATTGCTAGTCCAATTAATGTAGCCATGCTGCAATGAGGTATTGTTGGAGTAAATGAAACAATGACGGAACTAGCTTTATCATCAACAAAAATGTCTTTTTCATTCACAACTCTCAAGTCTTCCAAAGTAAGTGGATGCTCTGGATCATTGATATCACGAATCAAATCAAAAATTTCTCTGACATCGATTTCATCATGAATGTCATCATCTTGGTTTTCTTCCCGATATCTCGGAGTCTGAGATTCATGAACTAGTGGATTAGCGTTGTCTTTAGATGAGAAGTTCATGCTTTTTACTGTTATAACTGTATAACATAGAGAAAACAAATTTTGAATGTCATTAACGGAATTTCATTTCAGTAAAATTATAGTGTTTTTGTAGAAAATACAAGTACAACCAAGAACTAAGTAAAGAATCTTAATCCCCATGGCTGAGTACAGAATAAATTATCTCATTGTGTATTGCTGTACTGCTCAATTCAGATATTACAGCGGCTCGACAGTGTTGTGCACCATGATAAGCGTTAGGAATACAGGAATACGACAGCACCACACATCTGATTACACTGCGTGGCTTTGCAGGTTTGAATCTTATGCGGGGTTACTATGTACGCGAGGATTGCTCTCGGTACACGACTCCTCGGTATCGTAGGGTGGTTCACGTAAGTAACCGCTGGTCAGTCTGTCAGTTAGGGCTTTCTCCACCGTCAGACCATTGAGTGTATTCATCTGAAAACAAATGACTGGTTTAAGCAGTCGTACTGTCTTTCCTCATCGGCTCACCCCCGGGATAGATATGTAGATCCTACTGTCCTATCCGACAGTATTATGTAAAAATTATTAAAATAACAGAACCACATTATTTTCGGGTCTAGTGTAGTTTCGTACCTAAAGTACTTCTAGTGCTGTAGTGGGTGTATAATCGGAAGGTATAATACTAAGGCGAGGTGGGCAACCCCTGGCACGCCCTGAGTGCATTTATTCGGCACGCGAGCGAGGCCTTGGAAACGAGATCATTTTCCTTCAGATAAAAATTTTGTCGAGAAGGGCGCAGCGTTCACCTGGCTATATTCTCACGTAATATAGTTCATTATGTGTCGCCCTTTTTCGTCATTTCTGCTTGATTTATGAAGTTGTACAGCTCATATCGGTGGCTATAGTTACTGTTATAAATTAACTTTTAAAGAAATATATATAAGCGATAAGGGAAGCGAATACAAGAGAGAAGTGCGGAAATCGAACTATTGCGTGATTGGGATGCCATTCGCGAATTTTTCGTGTCTTAAAAACTTTGCAACTGCACTACTCTCCATGTTTTCATCTACATACTGACATATGCTTGTGAATCTCTGTTCTCAGTTATAAACCTTATTAAGTCTCGCAACAGGAGTAGCCTGAAAGATGAAACCAGTAGTTCGTGTATTTCTTTGAAAGCTACAAAATATAAACCCAATGTGAAATCTCTATCAGCGGTAATGAAGCAGCAAAAGTCTCACTTATATAGAATAAGAAAAGTAATTAAATCTATTTGTCGGGAAGATACTTACACTAATAGTTAATCTGTCTGTACATGTTTAAATAGTTTATTATTGTGTATTTTTGCTTTGAAAGTAGCAAAGCATTGTTTTTAATCTTGGCCGTCACGCGGCGGAAAAATTTTTTGTCGTTAAATTTAACCGATTTTGGCACGCTAGACGAAAAAGGTTGCACACCCCTGTCCAAAGGCCTAAGCCAGGGGTCACCAAACTACGGCCCGCGGGCCGGTCCGGTCCGGCCCGCAATAACACGCAAACATTGCTAAATATTTTTCCAAGGGAGATTTTTCCGAGCATCGTCTTCCTTGTTTAATTCGTAACATTGGCCAATCAGCAAGATGCAAAAACGTGACGTAATAATAGGTCTTTTCGCTTCCGCTCAGACACTTTTCTCACCCTGATAGATTTTCAGTCGTGGTTGTAAACAATATTTCGTTTTTGCGACTTTAAATGCTATTCGTTAGTTTTTGGTTGTGTTTCGGAAATTTAAGTATGAATCAAATAAGTCAATCATCATTTGCGTCCTTAGGAGTTGTAGTTTTAATAGTAGTAAGGAAAACTTAGTCTAGGAATAGCTGTGACATAATAGGCTAAAATTCTCTACCGGTACGCAACGTTTTCTGAGAAAAATGCACTTGTACACTCGTAGCGCGTGCTTTCGACGAAACTGTTTACGTTTCTTGTGCTAAAATAAACATCGAATGTGCATTTTGCGCTAACAGTACTGTAATCCCTCGCGTACTGCTCCAATTTCACAAGTCACACTAACTCCGATATAAATAAAAACTGCGTCAGTGGATAGATCTGAGTGAAAATAGAAAACAATACCAAGTTTATAAAAAACGGTCAAGAAATATCGGAACTTTAGTACCGCCCGACAGGCCAATTTTTGGACACGTAGTGGACATAACGATCGTTTCAATATTACGTTTTTAAAAAGTCGCTTTTCTCTCTGATTACTGGACTAATTGCTTTGAAATTTTCAGTGGTTGAAGATGAAATTTTTCTCCAGAAGGCTATTACTTTTATTTATTTCAAATATTTCTGTTAGCTCTGTAAGATTTGTTTTTGTTTGCTAGGACGTCACTAAACGTTCTGCGGATATCGGACGCCATTTTGTGTCCAACGGACCATCTTGCAATTCACGCTGTCACAAGACAGGACCTTCTAAAGATAGGAAAGTTCTGGTACCGTAACACAGCGCGGTGACACTGAACTAACTCGTAGCTGTCAAAAGCTTGAAAATCCATACAAATATGAGAAATAAAAAGATGAAACTTGGCAGGTGGGTAGAGTTGTGTTTCTTTTAACCATATTTGAAAGTTTCGCGTTTCTACATTTGAAGGAGGGGGAATAGGGGGTGTGCATTTCCGATACGTCGATAATATCTTTGTCAACCAATTTGCGGCCACCGTGTTTTCGTCTGTTTGATTGCTGTGATGTGGTGCTTTGTTTATAATTTAACGAGATTTGTTCGAAATAACCGTGTTCCGTGAAATATATGACGGTCAGAAATGCAATTAGAAGCCCAATGTTTTCACGCTGTCACAAGACAGGAACTTCTAAAGATAGAGTAGTTCTGGTACCGTAACACAGCGCGGTGACACTGAACTAACTCGTAGCTGTCAAAAGCTTGAAAATCCATACAAATATAAGAGATGAAAAGATGAAACTTGGCAGGTGGGTAGAGTTGTGTTAACCATCTTTGATAGTTACTTCTCTCCCCCGGGATAAATATGTAAATCCTATCCTAATACGCCGATAATATCTTTGTCAACCAATTTGCGACCACCGTGTTTTGTCTGTTTGATTGCTGTATGGCTGCGTATGCGATAGTCGCGACGCAGCAGAAACGATGATCAAGGCTTGAAATCCGTGGTCGCACACTGGTCGTTCGGTCGCAAATACGTTTTCGAGTGCCGTACTTTGGGGATTTGTATAGCTTTAACCCTTTGTCGTAGAAAGTTAATACGAGGTTTAGCGTGTAGAATAAATGCCGCCAATGCACCCACGGAGATATATTGGTTTTTGTTTTATAGCGGTTTGAATGAAATTGTCCGCAGACTGGCTACACCACCCTAGGCCTGGTGAGTTGTCCGTGTAGTCGAATTGTCCATCAGCCCTAAACGGCTATGACAGTCACTGTACCAAAAATTGTACCCCGATTCGGCTGGTGTTAAGTTGACGCATGTTATTTAGTAACGTTTTTATGTGAAATGTTTGACTGTGGTTCGGTACCTGATCCGATAATACGGTACATAATTGACTCATATCACGAGATATTTCAACTGATGTTTCAATTGTCACAGGACCTAAAATATCTATGACAATCCCTGTACCGTCACGGTACCCCGATACAGATACTGGTAAGTCACCGCCGGTATGTTAGTCGTTGGTCACCGCATATGATTTTTGGGGAATTGTTCTGCGTGTCCATATATTTGAGCATTGCTCTCTTGTTTCCATAAGGATTGTATTACTCTTTGATAAGAATTGTAATAAATAGGAAAAAAGAACACATATCATTCACTAATATTTCGATGTGCGTCACATCTATGGAATATTGAGACTATTTCTGGATTTTATTCTGGCAACGGTCATTGATACCGCCGAAAGATCGTCACAAATAAACGCTAGAGTTGTGCATGATAGTTTGACCAATGACATTAAACAACATGATGCGCAACTCCGGCATTTTTGTCCGAAGATCGTATTCGATAGCACGCTCCAATGCACATACTTGACGAGACGAAAACGAGCGGATGTGTGCTGCTTTCAAGGCGTAGCACGAATGGTGTTCGTGCCTGCTTTGACAGTTGTTGTCGATTTTAATGATATTTTTGAAAGTTGGGGTAAAAAGAAATCGGTAAAAGGTAAGGTGAATACTATTGTTGTATATCACACCCGGGCATCGCACTGTTAAGTACATGTGGGAAAGCCAGCCTTTGTCAAATACTACGAAGTTATTAATTCAGTACGGTACGTAGTTGCCCATTTGCCGAAATTACATATTTACTTACCCCTTATGGTTTCAAATAGTTCATGCACCTCCAGTTAGATTTTTTTAATCAGTGAGGATATATACTCATTGTTGATTGCTGCTCATTGTAACATACTATTACGCATTCACTTTTATTTGCGTATTGAATCAAAGTGTTAACAAGTTCACCTAACATTTCACTCATACCGGTCTATATTGTATAGTCTGATTTCTCAAGTATTTGGAGCGACGAATGCTTGTAATTTTCTGACTAAACCCTTTTATTAGTTGGTTTATATACCAAATTCAGTAAAATATTTTTTAAATAAAACATGAGATATTGGATTTATTAGCTTTTCCATTCTGAATCATATAGACTGCTTTATTTATTCTTAACGAAAATAAATCTCCTCTCTTTCTTCAGATGTGAAAGTTGTGGACAAACCTGTCTAAGCATTGTGAGACTCTTGCAGCACAATAGGCAATAGCAGAAATAGTAAGTATATCAATCAAGAAATTAAGCCGACATAAAGCAAAACTTTCAACTATTCGTCTAATCTCAGTTTCCTATTATTTGTTCACAGGACAACTATAGCAGACGGGGAGATATCAGAAGTCTGGCGACATATCAGTGACAGTGTGATTCCAAGAAATATAATGCAATTGAAAATAGAAATTTGCAATAGAAAAACAACCTATGGAGGCATGCAAAGGCATTTGACCCTCCGGTAGAGTTGTGTATGGCCCCCACATCCTGCAGGGCTTGAGGAAAATAACTAAAAATTCCAAAGCGTAAGATTGCATAAGCGGTCTTATTTGTAAAAAGGCACAAAACACGCCAGACATACTTAAAACAGCTTTGGAAATGAGGATTACGGGTACCTCACTGCACCTGTGTTATATTTGGTACATCAACTTTTGGTAGTACTATAGAAGAAATTCCGGAAGGGGTATAATCATCATTCATGATAAAATACTATCATATATTTTTTGAACAACTTCAATCTAGACCAGGGATCTCAAACTCGCGGCCCCAGAGAACTTCCAGTGCGGACCTCGAACGCTTAACAATAATTGTAATAGTATTTTGGAAGTTTTTTTTTATCTAAATGTAATAGATTTTTCAAACCTTCTAAAGTGAAATTGATTATTCACACAGAAAACAATTTACTGAAAGTAGTTTTGGAATATTAATTTTTTTTGTCCACATTTTGACCCAATTAAGAATACACATCAAGCTAGCAAAAGAATACTTGAATAAAACACTTGAGTAATTAAATTAAACGCAAAGTACATGAAGAAGGTGGCATTTTCGAAGAAAATG